TGCTCTTTTGGCGTCTAGTTCGTTACTGTTTCCTTGATTTCCGGTGAGGCCAAGTATCGTCGAACTGGGAGTGATTTCCAGAAAGAGGACAACGATGGGAGAATGGATTGAATGACTCCATTCTTAATGATTGAGGATGATTAGGGATTGATTTTGGGCTTTGAGCCTTTTCGACACCACCCGTCTGAGCTTCAAGTGGGCCAGCGGCAGTGCCTTTTTGGTGGGTGAGCAGTTCTCGTGCTACATCAGCCAATTCAAAAAGAACAAAGCAAGGGTCGGCTGACCGGGGTATCATTCTAGATAAGTTCATACTCCATGATTGATGAGGAAATACGGGGAACCTGTTCTGTTGGCAAATCATGTCATTGAGTCTAACAAATTACCAACAAACTTCTACAACTGCTTCAAAGCAGCTTTCGACCTGGTGCCCCTCCCTTTTCACGGGTGTGATGTACATGTATCATGTCTGCCCCGTTTTCTGGTAGACAATCCCAAGAGCCGCCAAGGCATGGCTATGGATTGTTGCAACGTTTTACAAGGGAGCTATGTTGCAAGCTTGAGGGGACGCACTGGCGGGGAGAGCATGCTCATTGAAGCATGGAATTGGATTGACCCAATTGATTTCAATCTAGCCTCGAAGTTTAACCCCATCGCTTCTATTGCGCGCATGCACCGATCTATATCCAATTATAATGTGTGAACTTGTGATCTTTTGTGCCTTGTGGCGACAAGAACAAGAAACCGGAAGGACACACAATATTAGAAAACTGAACGCTACGAAGCCCAGGTTGTGAATGACGGGCAAGATGAACTCGCTCCAGAAGAGGCACTGAAAGACTTAGAAGCGAACTAACTTAGACGCGTCCGAATTCCACCAAGAGGAATGACTTTGATCACTTTCCATTGATGTCAGTTGTTCCCCATCTACTACACTGTCTAGGAAAGTGTTGCCCAACGCCCTGTCTCCAGGGGCATCAGCTTGTTACCACACTAACTATCAGGGCCCTCCCTAGGAGGGTGGAGTTGACCCTCTCAAGGCCGTTGGGACTCTACCTTCGAGGATTGGCAGAACCTCACTCCGTAGGGATCCAGTCGTACCGAACCTCAGGTGAAGAAGGATACATATGGATACATTATTTTTGAGGGTCCAGTCGTACCTTCTGAGGTTCCGTACGACTGGATCCCTACAAACTTCAAAGGTCCAACGCCCAAGGCACGATACGTTGGGGACCGCAACAAGATCTGCTCGTCCACGCAGGCAGGATGCCGAGAACGTCGGTAGGGACTGGCACTCCAGGGCGAGAGCTCGGAGTAAAGCTTCTCGAAGAGGCTCCTCGGTGGGTCACCAAAAGCTGAAGATCATGTGATGTGTGTGTGTGTGTGTGCGACCCCGATCGCAGGAAAGAAGGAGACCGGTGAGACACGACCGGTGAGCCACCGGCAAGGCATTCATTTTGAAGTAGCTGTGCGTTTCGGTACCATCTGGTGGTCTCGAAAATGCCCAGTCCTCTCTCATCAACTCATTTTCAGTAGCATAGGGTATTCCATTGGAGATCCATTGGAAGGTGGTGATATGTAATTCCGCCTGGAGGGAAGTCCAACTTTTCTACAAGGTCCGCTTCTTCCCTGACTATGTTTCACGTGTCCGAGGAGAACCGCACACTCCTCCCATAGAATCTCTCGAACTCCACACGCCACCGACCTCTCCACATCACCTATCTCGAGGTAAGAGTCAGGTCGTCTGCTGTACATACGCAACCTGGCCAGTATACTGCTCCACCATCCACTAAAGTGCTGAAATCCCGCCTGGGATGTGCAGGATCCTTCTGTGGTTTAAGGGTCTGGTGGTAGATTCTAAGGGCCCCAAAGGCATTATATAGTGATCGACATATGAGGTTGATTTCTAGGTTGGTTTATAAATTTTGGTAGTGTGGGTGGTCCAATAGTCCCCTGATCCATCCTAATCTACCCATCCGTTCTCGGAAGAACAGAACAACCGCAGCCCCCCTGCAAAAAAAAGAACAATCGAGGTGAACAAAGGTCCAGCCTCCAAACCCCCAGACTATAAATCTCATCACCTTCGCTACGCAATACGCACATCCTTTGGTCCACCCAGAGTCCTGCCGCCACAGCTTGCTACCACACATCCGAATACCAACGCTAACCACTTGCACAAACGATGCCATGGAACCTGAGAAGGAATTGCCCTGTGGTGGTTTCGACCGACCAATCCATGTGGTTTTATGTGGTTTTGGGGTTCCATGTGCTCCTCAACCAGGGAAATAACTCTGCCAAAAACAAATAGGAAGCGACAAAAGCTACACAACAGTCCTGCCTCAGCTTCTGTGTGGTCTGTACACAAGTGGTCTCACCAATCACGGAGGCCAAATCCGCCTGCCACCAGAGTTGGGCGCTGAACATGTATCTCGCATGATTTCGCACACCCCAAAAGCTTGCGGAGGTTAGCAGTGTGGAAGCATGAATTGCGAAGCACCAAATCGGCCTGCGAAGTTTGGCCAATCTTGACACTGCACCACTATATTAACAAATGTTTTTCTTCTTGAGAACCCTTTCCCCATAAAATCCAGCAAGACGCTTCTCACACTGGCCACGCGAAATGGACTTCTTAATTCGACCGCGGCTGATCCACATATTACAAGGCGTGCCGGATTTTCTCGAAACCTCCTTGCAAAAAGCAGGGTCCAGGGGGTCCAAGGTTTGGCTACATAGACTTGACCACCCAACTGCTGGTGAGGCCCACCCAACTGCTGGTGAGGCGGTCACTCAAGGTGCCAGTCTTAATGACTCCCACACGGGAGCGGAGGCACACGCGGAGAGTGGACTCCAACGAACACATGGAAGTGGAGGTGGGAAACCTCCCCCCCCCTGCGTGGGTTGTGGGAGGAAAGTTCGGGTCAGTTGGAGAGCGCATCTCAAAAGGTGTGCGATCAGTACTTACTTCTAGCGACCAGCATCATCCAAGGAGGGTCTTCTGTAGTGGGACCCTTAGAGGGTCTCAATAAAGTCAAAAAGATTATATAAGTCAAAGAATGTCAAAGAGATATATGGAAACACCAAGCGCCAAACATGCAGCAATCTGAAACAAGAGGATCATTGATCCATATTGATCCCAGACGCACTCTGAGTTCACTTTCCAAGGTCTGTTTTTCGCACACGTTTGAAAACCAAAAACATACAGTTCTTCGAACCAAACAAACATGCCTCACACAACATGGATGATGGACTTCCTAAGTAAGAGCAGGTGAGATGAGATTGCTGGCACGCATCTTGCACTAATTGCACACAATTGAACAACATATTCTCTAACACCTCTGATGAGGAAAAAAACACAAGAATCAAAACACTCCGTGTCTGGCATATTTAATATGGCATAATATACCCACATTGACCCTAAGTCTCACATCCAGAATCCAGCCTTGTTCTGCGACGACAACACTGCCGCCCTTCGCGGATGAAACAGCTCTTCCGCAAAGCGCGCCCCCAGCGCGCGGGCATGAGAGGCCGAGGGCGCCGCCCCCGAACGCCGCTGCGGCAGGGCGGAGACGGTGGGACCTTGGGTCAGAGACATCCGGCACATCCACCACTACTGTAGCGATGTGCAAAATGAAGCTCTGTATAAATGGTTTTGTGTTGTTGGGCAGCTCGATGAAAAAACGAGGTACCCAACCCCTGAAGTCCAAATTATCTCACTGCTATTTAGATATGGTAAGGGGTCCAGTTCCGGTCGGCCACTTCTGCTGACCAGGAGCATGGGCCTTCAAGGAGTTGCTCGTCCAGCTCTTGCTCATGAAGCTTCTTCTCTGCGCTATGCAGCCTGAGTGGGTGCCCCAAGTGGTCAAAACATGCAACAGATTATGAAGACCGCTCTTGGAATAGAAGCTCAAGCTATATATAAGCGCAAGGTCTCTTTTTGGGTGGGGTATCTTGCAAAGGGTCTGCTGTGAGATGAGCGCGTATAAATACCGTGTCTGCAGCCAGAACTATTGATCTGTTTGCATCTTGAGGGCCCGTGGCTGGACCAATTCCCTATTCTTTAGATCTGAGATCTTAGCTGTTTTTCCCCTCTGAGTTGTACCGAAGGCAAAGGTATGTCCGCCGGGGCCGTGCCCCCCATCCACTACGTTCTTCCCATGGGGTGGCCGACCTGTACAGACTCGGGTGCTGATAGTCCTGTCCTATCCAGGAGTTCGTTCCTCAGCCGTGCCACCAGCGCCGCACCGGAGCCTGCACTGCGACCGACGCCTCCTCTTCTGGAACCGTCAGCGTGTTCGCGCGGCCCCAGCGACGGAGAGCCATGGGGAATACAAGCGGCCGAGGCGGTCCGAAGAACGAATTTGTTGAGCTGAAGGCCTAGAAAGTACACTGAAAGTGCATCAAAAAAGACTGAAAAGGCATGACTTGGGGCAATACCCTTGACAACTTGTGGGTTATGGCAGAAAATGTGAGTCCAGTGAGTGTTTGGCCTTGGAGAGAGATACAACCGGGGTTCACTTCTGTCGGCATTCAGGAACTTCGAGCACGGGCCTGGAGAAGGATTCAAAAGGGATTCATGCTCTTGCACCCTTTATCCTTGAACCCTTCAATCTAACAAACATATGGTATATTGTCCACTGACGTAATTTGTTTAACAGTCTTAGTCAAACATATTGCATAATTATGTAGACAAACAGTTTGACAATTTGTGGCTAACATGAAACAGTTCGCAGGGCCACAAAACGAACGGCAGCGGCAAAGACGCCGACGAGGGTGCCACGCTCGTCGAAGGTCCTGCCACAGTCTGGAAACAAGGCCTTTTTGGTACAAAACTTCCAGTACACTGCTTGGTTCCTATTAATGGATAGCAATGGCAAAGCTAGCACAGCTATCTCAACAGCTTGAGCTGATGGAGAGTCTGCACCTTCAATCTTCTGTTTTTGGTGTGGGATGTGGCCTTCCCTATGGCGAGCCAGGTGCACCAGCAATATCTGAGTCCAAGTCTCCGCTGTGGTCATCGCCTGGTAACGGGTCTTCAGAAGAGTGGCCGAAGGGACCAGCGCTTCCCCAGGGGATCCAGTCACCAATATAAAGCTGGTAATCAGTATTCCAGTTCGACTAAAACCATCGACATAGATAGACCGAACACCTGGGTCCTTACTACGACCCGTGGCTGCGGACTCTGCCTGGGTCAGATGTTCCGCCATGACTCCCGGACTACACGGTGCCCTAAGAATACATACCCTGACAGGTCTGACATGGTCGGACGAGGCGGGGCCTGAAAGGAAATTTCCTTGGCTTCACTTATCAGGCAATTGAGAGGAAAAACACACACAAACACTCGATAGGATTGGGGGGGCTGACCCGGTGTCGGCATAAGCTCGCTCATGGAGTGTCCCATTCGCTACACGATGATGTGAACACGATCGAGCTCCTCTGCTAAGTCTGGTCTGTTCGAAGGTGGCCATACAAACAGGTGCTCCACAAGTCGGGTTCATCGCTGGCTGAGCCCATCGCCAGTACTGTGCAAGCCCATTCGACCCTTTCGTCTACACGAACCGATGTGACTCACGACCCTGACGACGTTTCAGGTCCCCTGGAAGATGGTTTTCCTCTAGCAACCAGTGGTTTTCAGGGTCCATGGGATCGTCTTCCAGGGTGTATCATCTTGGACAAGTGGATGATGTACCTCTCACAACTCTGCTTCCAAAGAACTGCTTCTATCACGTCGCCCAGCTCTTCACCCGCTTCTGATGTCCGATCGATGGACAAAGGTGCTCCCCTAAGAATCCTTGAGCCCTCCATAGCAGGGGTGCAGACCCTCAAAACATCTCAAAACCGTATGTATTGGTTTGGGCGCGGGTTCTTAGGGTTCATCCATTTTGTCACTTTCCTCCTATCACACGGAAGACGCTGAGGTGGTGTTTGGTGAAGACTTTTTCCTCCGCACTTCACCAATCTTCACCACCTCCCCCAAGTCTGCATTTAGTGGATTGAGAGTAGATTGGACGATTTTTCTCCTAGTTTGGTGGTTAGATGGACCTCCATCTACTTGTCATCTTGTGGTTTGTGCCATTTACTCTGAAACCACTGTAAATTGGGCCAGTATACCGGCCTTCAGTTGCGTTCGTTTGGAAGTTCCTTCATACAGAGCAAACAAGGTGATGTCAGGATCTACTATGATACAACATGTTGTCCGTATCTTACCGTGTATTGCTTATCAGCAATTACCCTCCCTACCCTCCCTCCAAAAAGAATGGACAATCATAATTCCTGCTTGTAGAGGAAAGTAAGTAGTTATTCTAAATGGCCAGCGTCCACTGTCATGATACAAAGTAATTAAAGAAAATGAGTATAATATCGGCATATAATATATACCTAGCCTAGCCTATATACCTCAACTGCAGCACCAAACAACCACCCCCCCTGTTCTGTTCGCATGATCTTCACCACAACTTGCGGCATCACATTCTCCAGTTGTACCAGACAACCACCCCCACCCCGAACCTCGGTTTTCCGCGGAAACCGCCTGCGCGCGGCGAGCAGCGCACGGCGATGGGCCGGAAGCCCTCGGAGCTGTTGAAGAGCTGCTCCATGGCTTGGACCTTTTGGGATCGAAAAAAGGGCGTTCCGGTGTCGACCTTGTGGCCGAATGAGTCGATGGAGACCAGGCTCAGGTCGGATGGTCGGACGGCTCAGGTCAAGGTATCGTCATGGTCATGGTCACAGGAGAAATCACAGAAGATTGAAACTGGTGGGATTGGGCCCCAAACCATCCGTGGGACTAGTTACATACATGTCTCATCATTTATTCCATGAAAATGACCCATCCATGGTGGCATAATTCTTCCAATATCATGGTCTGGGAGAACCTCGGGACAATTATTCAACATATAAATTGCATCAAGAAACCACCTCTTCCTCTTCCCCAGAATTTCGGGGGTTTCACCCACCAACTCACCAACTCGATGCATTACCCGATCCGGTTCCACCACCCATCCTCGTTCCACCTGCCTGGGGATGTTGCTCGAAATAGCGGAGCTGGCTCCAACGGTCCAGGGGCCAACCAAAGGACTCCACCACGGAAGGCTCCAACACGAAGGGTCTGAGACGCGGGCTCCGGCGCGAGGTCAAGCGAAGGACGCGGCGATCAACGCAGGCGCCACACGTGGAGAATTCAAAACAAACAAAACGTGTTCATGTTGTCGCTAAAAATCATGTTATTGTTGTTGTTGTAGTTCATAACGTTTGTTGACTGACTCCTTCAGTAAAAGTTATCCACTGAATGGGTATGATTGAATTAAAACTGTGTGTGTGTGGGTCGAACGAGGTGAACTGGGTGAAACAAGTAATTACAAAGGTGAACTGGGCCCCTGGTACAACTCGCGGTCAGCGTCCTTGGCTTCGCGAATGCTTTAACTCATTTGGTTCCCCGCACGTGAGTGAATCGGCCGGAGGCTGCGACTTGACAAATCACCCTCGTGGTCTGCAGGATGATGAATCAGTTCAGTCAGGTTGAAGGAATGACTAGAAGGACCAAGGATCAAAGTATCCAAGTGTCTCCATCGACAAACTCCTGTCCTCCCACTGGCGTGTCGCTGCATGTGTGACTTTCCGAAAGCAACAGGAAAAGCCTGCCATCTTTTGCAGCGTAGCAAAGGCCGATACTGGGCAGTGTGTTTGTCTTTGTCAGTCGTGCGCACAGGGTACCTCCAGTGAGGCAGTTTACCATAATTTACCTGTAGTAAGAGATCCAAGCTTGGCGAGGGAAAGCCCCAATCCCAATCTGAGCCTTCAAAGGAACAGGAATCGTCGAATTTGTTAAGGACGTGCAGCGAGCAAAAGCATCGTTCCCAATCTTTCTCACAGTCAATGGGATTGCCAAGCTGGTCAAAGAGCTGCAGCCAGCAAAGGCCCCAATTCCAATTTCAATCACGGAGTGAGGAATGCTCAAGCTTCTCAAGGAGCTGCAGCCAGCAAAGGCACCTGCCCCAATCTCCGTCACGGAGTTGGGAATGGTCAAGCCTGTCAAAGAGCTGCAGCTAGCAAAAGTGCCGGCTGCAATCTCTGTCACAGAGTCAGGAATTGTCAAGTTAGTCAAGGAGCTGCAGCCGCAAAAGGCAACGTCTCCAATCACAGTCACAGAGTCCGGAATTGTCAAGTTCGTCAAGGAGCTGCAATTTTGAAAAGCACCCTCTCCAATTTCAGTCACTGAGCTAGGAATTGTCAAGCTTCTCAGTGAGCTGCAGCTTTCAAAGGCCCTGTCGCCAATCGCGGTCACAGATTGAGGAATTCTCAAGCACGCGAGAAAGCTGCAACCTCTAAAGGCAAAAGAAGGAACTACACTCTCGCCATTTGGGATATGTACCATGAAGAGTAGATTTGCTACATTGCCCCCCATCAACCAATATGCATCCCGTGCTGTTGAGCACTCTGCTGATCGGACCTTGGACTGGGGGGATTTGGCGATCAATCGATCTCAGCAAAGAAAGCCCTGCAACAAACCCACGCTTTCTGAACGCGTTGATGTTCCCGTGCGTTACCTAGATCACAAGTCCACCTCGGGCTCAACGAAAAACTGATGAAATTGTTCTGTCTGGATGATGTCCGAGCAACAGTGAACACGACTTGCAAGACCACATCTGGAGAAAGCCCTGCTTGCGTCAGGGTCTCTTCGTTGTCCGCAAGCTTTCTTTCACCCATGAGCACTTCAACGATGGTCACCTCTTTCATCGACTCATCCTCCTGAAGCTCCTGGAGCTGCCTCTTGAAATCGCCGATGGTCATGTCAGGAGAAGCTTCCATCGTCGCAACTGCCCCACCTGGTAGCAACGGAACAGGCCAGGTGGGTTGAAACGAAGAAGCGCATGGATGAGCTTTGTGACCTCCCTGATCTCTGGATACTAACTTATCATCACTTACCGGCATTTATAGCTCGTAAACCCAGCTGCTTCAGCTCCCAAAACCCGAACGAAACACCTATTTCCTTACTACGAGTGACTGCCATCGGCGCCGATGAAGCTGTTTCCATCCGACGGACGAGACGGACAACAAGCAACAAAGCACGTGCAAACGGTGCGGTCTCCGTGCGGTGCGGTCTCCCGACCCGACCAGCGAGAAGGTTGCGGCAAGTGGCTCATTTGTTGCACTGAAAGCTTCATGGGACATCGGCGGTCATGGCTTCGATCCACGGATTCCCCGAACCGGGCGGGTGAACGAACAAGTGAAACAAGTGTCTGGTGCCTGAACAAAGGGATCCAAATGGGCCACGGGAAACGAATACACAGTTCAGTGCCTACCACGGCCGTTCTTTCAAGCAAAAAGGTGCAGCACACAAAAAAATAACAGAAAGGAGAACATGGCGGCATAAAAACCATCTTCTAATCATGTTGTGATGTGATTTGAAACCTAACCCTAAACATCTCAACTCACAGCCTAACCCCCCCCACTTCTTTTGATATTAAATAAGGAGGGTGGTTTCCCATATTCTTTATCATTGGTGCATGTTGCCGAATTCTCAAAAGGCTTTCTGTCGCTTGCCATTGATTTTCCATTGCTGTTGGGAAATGATGACTTCCGTATGTGTTTTTGATTGGTGTCCATGGGATTTGCTCGAAATTGTGTATCTTTATTGTACTTGCTGATCCTTAAACGGCCTTTTGCTGCCTGTCATACATGTTTCATTGCTGTTCATTGGGAGTTGATGATTGTCCATTTGTCCTTGATTGTTTTCCTTTGGGGCTTACATGAATTTACTCGTTGGTTCCTTTTTGGGGTTCCTGAAACATAAATAAACATAAATATAATTATATATATATATACTATTTATATGTTCATCTTCAATGTCATAACTGCAAGTCATCAAAATCCACAACCGTCTGGTGAAAACTCCTTATCAATCCCTACTCAACAAAAAAACAATCTGAACATGGTACCCCCTTGAAGCCACCAAACTCTATATATATAACTTTGAGTAAAGCTAAGACAGTCTCCAAATGCTAAACTCCTTTTGGCTGTTCTTAGTGTTTGTGATTTCCATGTCTTTAATTTATCGTTGGTGCATCTTAATTTCTGAAATATCTAAGTCTTCATTTTGTTGTTTCCAGGGTCCATCTGCTATACGGCTATATATATATACACTGTACCTCTCCAGGAGTTATCTACTTTAAACAGCGGGGTTATCATTTCCCATAAGAGAAACATGTCTCAATCAATCTAAAGTATGCATTGTTCTTGAACACCGGTTCCAGGATTTGTCTGAAAGGCAGTTAGACATCCATCAAGACTCGAGTCTTGTATGCACAGGAGTGGGCACACACACTCTGACATTGGTTTTCAGTTACACTCAATTCCCAGGCAAAATGGCGATGGAACGGCAAGGTGGCAGAGTCCGTGAAAAGGTATTGTTTAACAATGTTTGCAAGCGCACTCGAAGGAACGGACACTCAGCGCTGCTGCAAGTCGGCTGCATGTCTGCGGTGGGAAAAATGGTTTGAGGGGCAGGTAGCATGAAGGACCATGAATCAAACCGATCGAATTGGACAGCGTGTTCAAAAGTTATAGCAGGTACACAGGGATGATCAGTCCCTGCATCCTGGTCAGCTGCATAGAGCTTCGTTGGCGACAGCTATGCAGTGACCCTGTCGCCCCCTGCCTCGTGGAGTGGTTGTAATGGAAAACCGTGGCAGTGAACCCTTTGGCACAGGGGGTGACACACACACACACACCGATCCCTGCATCTACATTTATTGAATTCGTGTACCAATTGTATGAACATGAGGGGGGGCAGGGTCAACAAAATAATACATATGATTTATGCATGAAACAAAGGCTTGTGAGATGTTGAACGAGCAGCTTGCGGCCCTGGTGGTTTTGTATGGCAGGATGGCTTCGTCAATCCCCGGAAACTCCAGCAGCGCATTGAGGCAAATGGATGCAACTTGTATATGAAGCTGAAGGGGAAACCTATCATTGCCATTCTCAGGAAGTAGACGTCCCTGGAGAGCGGAGGGAGGGGGCCCCACAGCTGCCCTCTTCGGAAGCAGACCTGGTTCAAGGAAACGTTATGATTTCGGTGGCGGGGAACGTCCATGGAACATCAAATTCAATTGTCCCAGGAATGAAACCAAGGAGAGCACCAACTCCGCCCCAAATATATAATAAACTAAACATATAACGTATGGTGAGCTGCTGATTCAATAGGCCAGTTTTATAGACTCCAACTCCCCCCAGTCCAGCTTGCAACTGGCGCAGCTTGCAACTGCGCGCCATTTGGCCCTGGCTCAGCCGGCTGGTGAATGCCTCCCACATAGCCTCGAAGTCTGGGAGGTTCTGCTGTGCCAATGCACTTTGACACAGAACACGGCCTGCAATTCATGGCTCCATGGAAAACATTGGAAATCACCTTTTGGTACAGGATTCAGGGCCGCATCCACGTAGCCAGAATGATGTCAAGGAATACATCTGCTCCATTCGCCGGATCTGATCCCGCTGCCCGCTCCAAAAGGGTTGTTTTGGATCATCCAAGCCGATTCAGCTAGCCTGCCCGTCTTGTACTGCAAGGATGAGCTGGTCACCGGGGTAGTTGAGGCTCTACTGAGGCTGGAGTCAGACTTACAGGCTTCATCCATCTTACTCTGCCCATGGTCCGGCTGCAGGGAGTTCAGCGCCCGACCCTGGGTCGGACCTAGCCATAGTACCTGTCCCAAGCGTCGCGCACACCTGCCCTTGACGCAGCGCTGGAGCTGCCACCCCTCTGGTTGGCACGGCTCAAGGTGTTACTGCCTGGCCAGGCGTTGTATCCGATATCCCTCAAGGAATGGGGAATGGTCAAGGTTCTCAAGGAGCTGCAGTTCAGAAAGGCACGAGCTCCAACCCTGACCACGGAGTCTGGAATGGTCAAGCTGGTCAAAGAGCTGCAGTTGGCGAAGGCATTATTTCCAATTTCAGTCACCGACATTGGAATTGTCACGCTTCTCAGGGAGCTGCAGCCAGCAAAGGCCCTCTCTCTAATCTCCTTCACAGAGTTCGGAATGGCCAAAGTTGTCAATGAGCTGCAGCCAACGAGGGCGCCCTCTCCAATCTCACTCACCGAGTCAGGAAAAGTCAAGCTCCTGAGCGCGCTGCAACCAGAAAAGGCCAGTCGTCCAATCTCCGTGACAGACTGGGGAATTCTGAAGCTGGTCAACGAGCTACAGCCATCAAAGGCTTCGTCTGGAATTCGGCGCCAAGAATCGGGGATAGACAATTTTCTCAGCGAACTACAGCCAGCAATTGCCCCCTCCCCAATCTCAGTCACCGAATTGGGGATACTCAACCTTTTCAACGAGCAGCATCCATCAAGGGCTTCATCTGCAATCCAAGTCACAGTTTCAGGAATTGTCAGGCTAGTCAATGAACTGCAGCCACGAAAGGTTTGACGTGCAACATGTGTTACAGAGTCAGGTATTGCAAAGCTTGTCAAGGAGGTGCAGTCCGCGAAGGCACCTTCCCCAATCTGTGTCACAGAGTTCGGAATCGTCAAGCTTGTCAAAGAGCTACAACCAGCAAAGCTCCTCTCCCCAATCTCACTGACAGAATCAGGAAGTGTCAAGCTTCTGAGTGAACTGCAGCCAGAAAAGGCTCTCTCCGCAATCTCACACACCGAGTTGGGGATGTCCAAGCTGGTTAACGAGCTGCAGTCAGCAAAGGCCTGAGTCCCAATCTCAGTCACGTTCGGAATCTTTAAGCTTCTCAGCGAGCTGCAGCCAGCACAGGCTCTGTCTCCAATGCTTTGCACCGACGACAGGTTTAAATGTGTCAATGTCCGGCAGTCCTGCAGGAGAGCCGCTGAAATCCGCGTCACAGCCGCTGAAAGGGCGATGCTCGCCAACGAGCCGCAGCCCCGAAAAGCGCCAGACCCCAGGTCAGCGACACTGCTTGGAATGGTCAGATTCCTTAGGGAGCGGCAGCTCTCAAAGGCCTCATCTGAAATCCTAGTCACAGAGTCCGGAATGGTCACGCTTCTCAAAGTGCTGCAGCCTGCAAAGGCCCCCTCTCCAATCTGAGTCACATCTGGTGGAAAGGTCAAATGTGCTATGGAGGTGCAGTCCTTGAAAGCCCCTCGAGGAATGGCCGTGACACCCTCCGGGATACTCACCATGAACAACGGCCCCGAAGCGGTCAATCTGCAGGTGGCCTCTGAAGACCGGGAGCACTCCATAGAGCGGACCTTGGGGAGGAGTCGGAGTGCTAAGTCTGAACCTCTGGGAGGATGCAGGAAGCCCGTTCGTAGCGTCCGATCGCTCCTAGTAGTAAGGCCAGGAGCCCCTAGCAAAGAGATGCACTGCTTGAGAACCTTTGAAAACTCGACATGTTGCCTGCCTAGCAGCCTAGCAGGACTTTGCTTGGTGCGACAAGCCGCAGTCCAGGGAAGTAGTAGGAGGATCATGTATGATATAACATTAATTATATAATGTTATATACGTACATGGGTTAAACCACATATATAGAGACAAATTCTACAACCAAAGCCAAGGTCATCCATGTCACCTTCATGACCCAAGAGTTTTGAGATGTTTTGAGGTCATGTAGGGCAATGGTGCAAAAGCACACTGCACAACGCCTGGCGGCAGTGAATACGACTTGCAAGACCACATCTTGAGAGAACCCTGCTTGCATCAGGGTCTCCTCGTCGTCCGTAAGCTTTCTTTCACCCATCAGCACTTCAACGATGGTCACCTCTTTCATCGACTCATCTTCCTGAAGCTCCTGGAGCTGCCGCTTGAAATCGCCGATGGTCATGTCAGGAGAAGCTTCCATCGTCGCAACTGCCCCACCTGGTAGCAACTCTGGTGAGCTGGAAAACAAGGTTCTGAAGATTGGGAGGGCAGAGATCTGCCTTTGAACCAATCTTTCAAACAGATTTACAAGAAGAGGTGATAATGGTGGCCTATGGCTGCATGCAACAAACTGAACACATCATGACACAAACCAATGCAAATCGAGTTGCTCATTTGCTGCACCGAGATGTTCAGCGCCATCACTTGCTTCGTTAGTTTGGCAGGAGAGAAGTTGGACAAGCACTGCAAGGAAACAGGATTCAGTTCAGAAGCTTCAAAAGACTTGTCCGCCCGGTTTTCAAAACCAAACACACAATGCATGACCTCGTTGCTAGTCAAAGCAACACGGAGGTATTCTCACTGTAGGATGGGTAGAACATACTTGGTTCCTTAAATCAAAGGTGTCATCTTTCATCATCTTTCTCTGGGACCACCAACCCAACAAAGCTCGATCCTCATTATCATACGTATCATGCATCCGGATGCAAACCCACATTGCTCAACATCCACACCCACATCGCGATCTTTCAAGCAAGATTCTTAAGTGAAATTGGGAGCTTTCGGACTAGACTTCGAGTATCTTCTAGTGATCCCCAATGGTGGCACGGTTTCGTGGCCAGCTACCGCAAGGACCTTCTGGACTTCACTGTTGAACCCGAGGAGAGGATGCAAACCATTTCTGCTCCTCAGTTGGACAGATATGTAACGATCGAACCAATCATTAAGCATGAATAAGGAACCATCAAATGCTGCGTGAATGGAGAGACACTGCAATCTACAACATGAAAAAGTTGTATATGCTCCTAAAGAAGACCTAAGAGTTGAGACAATTTGATGAACACCAAGCAGGATCTAGGTGGATTCCCGAGCCAAACCCACCAATGGCCCTGGGGGCACGAAGCCAACAACGATGCCACATGTGGCATGGATTAGTTGATGTGGGGTGGACCATCTGGGAGCAACATTGATGAAGCCCAAATGGGCTGAAAAGGTTTGGGTGGTTTGGTGGAGGTTTGGTGGTTTTGGGGGGTCTGTTCCTACCAGGATGCGGTCTGTTCGCCCTTCCGGGAAGGCCGCCATTCGGGTCCAGACCGGAACGGACTCGAGGCTGAAGACATCTTCGAGGGCCCCCTTCTTTTTGGGGATGGCAATGATAGCCCCGACTGAGGTCCTCCAGGGGGGCCCTGGAAGAAATGATTGTTGCCTCACTAGAAACAAGAAGCTACTAGTATAGCTCCTGGCATTACGTAGCGTTCGGATGCTACTAGTAGCCAAGTGCCTCACTAATTCTTCAAGGCTCGGCACAGCAAGCTCGCGCGTGGCGCGTGCCTCCGCGCGGTGGCAAAGTGATGAAAGATCTCCCGGTCCACGTGCGTCAGGCGTGGCAAGGGCTGCCATCCTCAAACGTTTTGGACGGTTCAGAAGGGCTCCCGGCGAAGGGATCCTTCCCTTGCTCAATTCCCCAAGCCTTTGGCAACACAATCCACCCCCTTGGAGTCCTGGAATTGGAGTCACGAGTTCTATCGGGGCCAACTCGGCCACTCATGCATACTCATGCTAACAAAGCCAATCTTGCGTTTAGAAGTCCCGTGGGTGAGGAAGTTTGGCAGGTGCCACACACACACACACAACGGCCAATCCCTTGCACATGTCCGGTACAACTTTCTTTCATTCAAGCCGAGGGCGATTCGCCTGTGACTTTGCAGGGATTTAATTCCGAATTATGTGCAAAAGCCGCCGCCGCACAGTAGTCCGGTCCCATAGTGGCATTTGCGTCGTACTTTGCAGTCAGCAAGGCCACCGCTTCCATGAACCATTTTGGCTGCTCTTCTAGGAACTCCGCATGCGGCTGGGACTCGCTCATAAGGGAGGCCAGGATTCTACACAAGTCAGGCGGGTATTCCTTGAGCGTAGTGGTCTTCCATTTGCCTGCTTGGTCTTTCCCTATCCACCCTCCCTGTGGCAGCGGTGTTGTTCTTCGGCTGACAAAAAAGTCGTTCACTCGCGGGCCACCGTTGGCGACTAGGAGGTCTGTCGGCTTCGGGGCCTTCCCCCCATAGCGTCCTTGTTGGATTCGAATCAACTCACAGTTCTCGAATCGACGAAAAAGGTGGATGACCGGCAAATACCAAATGGACGGCAGATGGGGTGCATCGTCTGGTGATGCAGGATGTTCAATCAGTGAGGTGGCTCCTGAAATAAGTGCTATCAGGAAAAGTCGGAGCGTAACTCCTAAAAGACTGTTTCCTAGCGACACTTGGGCGGCTTCACGGCAGTTTAGAAACTTGTGGCCTTGGAGTCGTTGTCTGCTCCTGAGCACTCTTGGTCCACCGGTGCCTACATCCCTGGCTCGCGACCAGGTTTCGCAGGGAGGCCCTGCTAGGCATCCGTGGAGCACACGCTCTCGCAACGCTCGCGCGAAGAGTTGAAAAGTCTCATATTTGAGCAGATTACCTTTATCAAGATCGAAAATCACATCCACCGAGATGGCCATTCCACCTAGCAGTTCGACAAATTGTTGGAAATCACCCTCCCGCCGAGCACCCGAAAACAAATGTGCAAAGACTTTTGGGTGATATGTGACCTCTGATGGCCTGGGCATCTTGATCGCTGTCATGAGCCAGGCCTGTCGCTGAAAGAAGGCTTCAAACTCCTCATCAGGGACTGTCTCTCCTTCAACTGGCCTGAAATGAACCAATCGATCGAGGCTCGAAGGGGAAAACGGCCTAGCCAGCTTAGGTCATCCAGGGTCATCTCTTCGTTTTGCGACATCCCCTTTAACCATTCATCATAGGTGGCCAAGATTTCTTCATGGTAGAGCCAAGTGCACAAAGTGGCCCGTCGAACTCTATCCAGACCATCTTGTGCATCGGATCTCATCTGCCATGCTCTTGTCCATTCTTCTTTAAGAGTTTCACGTGGACCTTCCTCTGGAACTTGTATCCGGATAGGGCGTTGGCGGGGTCCTTCCGCCTGCTGAAAGGGTTGTCGGAGTGCATGTTTACTATGCTTCTCATGTCTACTGTTTACTCCTGGCTCTCTCAACACTGTGACACCCCTTTGTTGGTAGAAGGCATAGCAATGCTCACTACGCTTGACATGGTTCAGTGCATCCGAATGCAGCTCATAGATCTTGAGACATGCTTCACATTGTCGTCCTGTGACGAAAGCACGTGCCCGATTGGCTTTGCCATGGACCTTAAAGGCGTGTACAGCAAGAAAAGAACGTTTGGAGAAAACCCTTGTACATTGAAGGCAGTAGTGTGTATTGCTGGTCTGGCTGGCTGTCGGCATACTAACACATTTAGCAGCAATCAATTCTGTCCGGATCTCTTGATGCCAGTGCTTCCATTCAGCATCAATTGTCTGAACTGAGATACTTCTTGCCACCAAAGTCCTCATCAACCGTCGCCAATATCCAGGGCTCTTGACCAGCAAGTCATGTAGCACGTCCCAATGCTGCTGTATCGGCAGTGGGAGATCTGCCTCCGGGCAATACTCCATGAGATATGCAAGATCTTGGTTGGTTCGATCGTGCCACTCGCCATCTCTTTGCAGAAGAGCCCATAGGATCGGTTGCCCTGTCCGGACAAGTTGCCCTAAATAGCGGAGTCTCGCTACTGTCAGGACAGTCGTAGAACTCGGGAGCCGCATCTTGTAGAGTGTCCAGTGGCTACTCCATGTCAAGGCTTGTTTTCCCCAATGGTAAAGGGCCAATCGCTTGTAAAGCTTGGTAAACCCTGCTTCAATTTGCATGGTCTGGCGCTTATTACGGGGCACCCAGACAGCCGTGTTGTAGAGCAGAGCACTCATGATCAAGCTGTCGAAGAACTGTCTCTTTCGACATAGGGCCATAGCACGGTTCGCAAAAATTTGCGATTTGTATTTTGTCATAGTGTCATGTGCAATTCCAAACTTGACTCCTACATCTTTGGCAACCCCTCCTCCAGCTTGTATCCATGTCCCCAAGTGCTTATAGGAGCCCACCATCTGAATTGTCTCAGGAGCCTCGCCGCCAGTAATCTGCAAGCTATAATTCTGTCGCAGCATTTCCCGGCGTATTTCTAAAGCTCCCGCACCACGAACGTCGATCAGCAGCTCACTTTTCCCTGTCTGCAAGTTTGGTCGTAGTCCAGCCGCTCGAAGACGATGGAAAATTATGCTGACTACCTCGCGGCTCATGTCAATTAATTCCTCTGCTGAATCCGCATCAAAGGCTAGCGCCAGGTCATCAGCCCATATTGGCATCAGGGGATCAAGCTTGTGGCATTGTATGCCTCCCGGTATCGGGCTATCCAGCCCGTTCCAACTGATCCGTAGAGCCGGGTAGCGTTCGACGATGCGATCAACAGCAACTTGCACGATCTTAATCAATGCAAAGCTGAAGCAAAGGTCAGCAAATGTGTCACCCGGCCTGCTACCCCGACGGGTCTGAATCAGATGCTGGTCGTGCTTGAGCTGGAACCAGGTAGACTTGTAAAACTCAGAGAACAATTGGCGTAGGTGCTCAGGCGCCCCAGACGCTTCAATTGCCGGTGGTTGACTGAGCATCGTTTGGAATTCAGCATAGCTGTCTGGTGGGAGTTCTAGCCGATCAAAAAGAGTGCGCACATCCCTTCTTTCTCCTTGTACTGCCACTATATGTTGTCTGAGGAGCCGGTAGAATGCATTCGCCACGTCTACGAAGAGAATTGCATACGAACGACCAGCTCGGATCGCCTGCATCTGCATTAGTCGCAGCGACTGGACCGGCTGTGTCAGGCCCTGGCCCGGCACTCCCCCGACTTGCAGGTCGAGCCTCTGGGCATCGAAGTACTCGACCAGATCTCCTCTGTAGAGTGCATGGAACGACTTACCCACTGTACTGCTGATATAGAGAGACCTGAAGTTCTGTATCAGCTTGGGGTTGCCTTTTTTGTAGGCCGGGACAAGGAAGCCTCCTTTAAAGATATTGGCTTCCTGTACAAAAGCAGCTTGTTTGCAGAACAAGGAGAAGTATATCTGCGCCATTCTTCTTGGAAGTCTATGCAGAAGCTCGCCTGGGACCTGGTCAATAAACATCGCCTTGCCCGGGGAAGTCTTTCGGAATTGTTGCTCAATTTGGTATAATGTTGGTAATAAATCCAGAGTTGGCTTTGTCGTTTGCGTGAGCCAGCGATCATCAGACTGACGGAGTAGCTCGGCTGCTGTGACCGGGATTCCATCTTCTTGTTCACTGAAATATTCTCGCCAGCATCTTTGCAGCTCCTCAGTCGTATCGATGATGGCTCCTGAAGAATTCTGTATCATAGGTAGCTGCTGAGCAAAGCCTGGTTTCTTGGAATTTCTGACACCCAGTGCTTTCAGCGCATCAGCAAACTCCTTAGGAGTAAGCTTGGCTTCTTGACGTGCAAGGTCCTCAAGTGATCTTGTTCGATCATTCCGCAAACTGCGAATGAGGCTTCGAGTCAGCATCGCCGAAGTGCGTTGGGATTTAATCACTTTGCTCATGGTCGAGAACACCTGCACAACTAGGTGACAAGTCGCTCGATCATTGGTTCTATGCCATATTGCAGCAAACATTACCCTTAGGGTAGCTTGCGACAGTAGGCTTTTTAGTCGTTTGGTCGTGCGTCGTGCTTGTAGTCGGTCCGAGCGAAGGCTCCACGATTGCTCGCCGATATACGACCGCCTTGGCCTATTATTGGTCTGAGGGTAGGCCTCACAGAGTCTCGAGACAATCTGCTGTCCTAGCCTGCATGCATGCTGGTCAATTGGCAGGTCCCAGGCTGGGATCCGAATTGTCGACATAGTAGCCTCCAATTCTTCCATGCTTGCTTTTTGGAGTCCTTTCCTATCATAGCTCACTCGTCGCACCGCTGGACGGTCCGTCGTGAGGATGACTTTCGCGTCCAGCACAAGCGGGCAGTGATCAACAGATTCTTTGCCTTCATCTATGGTGTCCAGGACCCATGAACGGAGAGCTCCGTTCTTCCACGACATCGGAAGACAGATATAATCACATCGTGACCCTTGACCATTCGCATTGCTAAACCACGTGTCATGCGAGCCTTCATGTATATGCTCGAATGTCGACGGGACAAAAAGGCCAAAACGTTCGAGGAAATGAAGAAAGCATCTACCTCCGGCATCAGTTCTACTTTCTAACCCAGCAGTACTGATAAGAGGTTCATGCTCTTCTCCAAAATGAGCATTGGCATCCACACCCACAATCAATGTCGGCAATTGGCTGTAAAAAGGGTGGATCATGTCTTCGAGTCCAGACCAAAAACATTGTATTTCTTTCTCCGTTTTGCCACTGTGCGGGGCATGGAAAGTGAGCAAGAGCATCTGTCCTCCTCGGCATTCAGTTTTGAGAAGCATGATCTGTTGGGTCGCAATCAGCACATGCGTATCTTCTTTCCTGAAAGCAAGGTGTCGTCTGCAGTCATGAGCTCGCGCGAGCCAGATCTCCACTCCTCCTACCCCATTTGCTGCTGCCGCAGAAAACCGGAAATGTGTCTCTGAGCAGTAAAGCATGTCTTTCCTGGAGCGCGTTTCTTGCAAAAAGAAGACATCAATCCCGTGCGCTCGTGTTTGTTCTCTCATGTATTGTACTAGTATGCTGCCCGTCTTGGGCCCAAGGGTTTGGACGTTGTATGTGGCAAACCTAAGGTGTAGAGCTTTACGAACTGGATCAGTTGGTCGTTCAGACACCATCTCTGATGGGAGTCGCTCTTCAAGGGTCCCTCCAATATTTATTTTCGGGAGGTACAAGCGGCAGTCTCTCACCAGACGGCATCCCTGTTCTGTTTTGGCATAAAAGAGCCAGAGCGTTTCGATAGCATATCGCCGGCCGGAGACAAAAGGTGTGTAGTCTGGACGCTGACACACTCGCAGAGGCGCCTGTGTCTCAAAAGCCTCTTTTGCCATGGCATCAGCTAATTCGTTTCCCAGCACCTCAGAATGTCCCTTAACATGCCGCCAGGAGTGCGCGCAGTGCGGGACAGCGGTCTCAAGGGCACAGCTCATAGCACGAAGGATCCTTAGCTGGCGATCATCAGGCCGAATCGAGAAAATCCCCGCACTTGAATATCCTGCCAGTTGGGAGTCAAAACAGAAGGCTCTGGGACACTGGTATGGTGCCGAAAACATCCATTCCACCGCTCGAAGCATTGCCGCTATCTCAGCGCTTTTTGCATTGGACTGGTCCGGTCCTGTCCAATCAGGCTCCATTGGGTCTGTCTGGACTAGACCCCAATCTTGATCAACCACGTAAATCATGTCACCTTGGTATCCGAGTACAACAAATGCCCAGCCCGCAAGAAAGGCTTCCGAATCAGACCTATAAGATCCGTCAGTATATATCTCTATGTACTCTAGGGCACTAGGTTCATCGAGCACGAGACGGGATGCCTGTTCCTGCAATTCAGACGACATTCTGCACAGGATGGAGGCCCAACTAATCCTGACTTTGGATTTGGGCGTCTTCAGCTGTGCAGCCAGCCTGGAAAAGTCAGGGAGGTCAATCGGCAGTTCTGGCAGACAGTCGGCTATCTGTATGACTTGCTTAGTCTGAGGCTTCAACCAGTGCACTAATCCAGCATAGAGTAAAAAACTTGTCCGTGGGAAATCGGTAACAATGAATTTGCCATCATTCCAAATCAGATCATCCATTTTCTCAAGGTCTATGTTTTCCCAGGAAACATCTTGGACTGGATTCCCTGGCGGGGGGAGGCCTCTGGTCGGACTTGCATGCCATGATCTCATCAGACGCAACTGAGACTGTAGAAGACTCACACTTTGAGATCGCATCCTCCTCAGGGTATCGAATGTGCAAGTACGTGCGACTACTTCCACATTAATCTTCATGCCTTCGAAGGCCGCCCATCTAACCAATCTAGGTAATTCGCGGCCTTCGTATTGCACCAGACATCTGAGATCTGCCGAGTAGCAGAGGTCATACAGCTTGGAAATTCTGAGCAGCTGGTCTGTAGTGAGTTGCTTCGGTATCTGGAAACCCGCCATGTGCGGCGAGACATATTGGTTTATGCCTATGCCGACAACCAGGACAAGTACTTTGTCGACTTGTGGCCGGCTGGTAAGAACCAAACACACATCATCATTACCTATCTGCTCAAAAACTGTTGGAATGGGTCGAACAACAGAAATTTTCATCACTGCCTCCTCCGCAACCGTTTCTGCAATTTGCAGGCGAAGACCAATAATGAAACCATCTTGGCTAAGTTGGTCTCTAGCATCTAGCGCGAGGATATTGTTTCTGAGCCGAATGCCAGCCCCAAACAGTCGAAATAATGGCCAGTGTCCTCGGGCCCTATAAAAACCGAGAGCTTCAGCTTCCAAAAAATCATAATTGAAGAGCTCTGTGGCCCTCAGTATCCTGTCCATCTGTTCTCTCCATTCACGTTCGTTTTGTTCATCTGCTTCGTCTGCTTGTTCCACCTCTTCCGCAATGTCTGCAATTCGCCAGCTTGGACGGATCGTCACTTGCTGTTGGAAAAGACCTGCTTCTTCATGGTCATATAAAGCCGCACCTCCAGGTCTTGTCCTCCTCCATCTGTCTCGTCGTATAGGTGCATTGACAGAGGTTGCAGTGTTCTCCTCCGTTGGTGCATCTGTCAGGTGGGGCTGCAATTGGGCCCGCCCTATAGGAGTTGCAGTGTTTTCTCCTTCGTCGGCTCTAGCTCCCTCTTCAGCCATGCGGTGATATTCTGGTGTCCATGTCAAGTCAAAGGAGTCATCGCTGCCACTGCCACAACTGGTGGTGGCTGACCCTGCATCTCGATATCTCCATTCATATATGCGGACAAAGGCACCTTCTTGCAGAACAATATCATGGTGGTAGTCAAAGCGCCGTCGTTCATGATATAAATAGCACTCCGCACCATCCTCGCACTCGTTCTGTGGACTGGCCAGTTCGAAGAGAAAAGCTACACTAGTAGGAGGGAAACGCTGCGGCAGCAAGATGGATAAGAGGTTCATTCTACCTTCTTCCACCACCTGGCAGAGTATAGGCGTGTCACTATTGGTTGGATGACTAACAATCACATGCGGTCGTGGAAGCGCAATAAAAACCGGTGCCGGTTCAACCACCGTGACTCGGCTTTCAGCAGGCATGCCTCTCTCAGTCCAATACTGCTCGCATTGCTGCCTTGCCTCTTGTAGCAGACTCAGCTCACAAATACTCTGGAAAAGCTGGACAATAGGGGACTCTAGGTCATGCACCCATATCGACACAGTGGTAGTTCTCACAGCAAACTGTCGCATATACCGGTGGAACGGTGACCGCGCTTGTCCACTGATGTGCCGCTGCATCATACTGCTGGCATCTGCTTCACTGCCCCAGAGAGGAGTATCGGAGTGTCCTGCCTCTGGGACACTGGTTTGTATCTCTTGCTGTCCTGCCGGCTTACAGATCTGGTCTTCTTGGCTGACACGGAACTCAAGCATGAAGAAAGTTCCATGATCTTGTTCGATCATGTCCTCCAGATGCCAATGCTCAACTGTCCCCATTCGTTCTCGTATCAATGTACAATCGTCCCCGCTTTTGACAGAAAGTGTCAAGTCCCAGCTTGTGCACCAGGTGCCTGAGCGTCTCCCCAGCCCGATATATGACTGCTACCCGTCTTGGGAGAGTTGTGAACAACACGTCAACCAGATATACGCGTTCTTGGTTTGCCTTCTGTCTGTCAGTCAACAATACCAGGTCAACGGGGTACCGACGGAAAGTCAGTGGCATCATAGTCGGCTCTATGAGCAGAAGCCAGAACAAATGCGGTTCATCCATATCATTCCATTCACGCAGAACCGATTCAGTGAAGGATCTACCGCGTTGGAGGGCCGATACCCTTGCAAAAGTTGCAACTGCAAAGCGAACCCCCCAAACATGGATTGTAAATACGCCTTCTTGTGGTAGGTCTGTGAGCTGCTCCAGATAGTCATGGACCACATCTTGTCTATTTGCAATCTCTTGGCTGATCGGAAGCAGCTCGATGATTCGTCCACTTGGGAAAAAGGACGCGAAAGGTCTCTGCCTGGCAACCATCTCCGAAATGAGGTTGTCCTCCGCCTCAAACTCTCTTTCCCAAGGGAGCTGCATTAGTGCTTGTAGATCATCATCACCATGGTTCAAAAAATGCTCGCTTTCTTGAATCCTAGACACAGATGCATCATCAGGTGTGATCAGCGTTTCATGCTCACGTAGGGGGCGCTGCCAGGGCAGGCTTGTCCCACAAGAGCTTTCATCCTTCCTACTACTCAATCGAACGTGGGCTCCAGCTGGTAAGCCAATTCTTTCGAGACCTTGGAAAATCCTTTCAATGTCTCCGTAACGGAAATACACAGTCCCTATATTGGGTGGCTCGCATTGAGTCATGTAACCGAGTAGCTCGCAGATCACATTCGGCGTACATCCCGGAGGACACTGAATCGCCAAAGTCACCAGTATGCCGCTAAGCTCATGCTCGACTACAAGTGGCAAGCTGTCGCTGGCGAAAGTCTCATCTGAGAAGGCCATCACTACCACATCATGATGGTTTCTACTGAGTCCATCTCCATGCAACATAGTTGGTTGAGGAAGAACTGTGATGAAGTTGACTTCCGTCATCCCAGCATCTTCAAAAGGATCAATGAGCTGTGTCGCCCAGAGCCCTCTCTGACGTAGCTGGATAGTAAAGGACTCTCCTTGGAACTGGTCAATACGGCTGAAGCACCATCCTATAATTCTCTTCTCCCAGATTCCTCTTTCTGGCGATCGGAAGAATTCGAATGCTGTATCAACTGCATCTTGATACCAGGTTCTCGTGAGCTCTCTTCTTGTCAATCTAAAGGTCCTGAGGTATGGAAGGCCACGTTCTGCAGCCACTGCAAACGGAACAAAAGGCGTCGGTGCAGTCCGTTGCATGAGCATTGTAACCTCCGATTCACCTATAAGTTCAGGAACAATAGACTTCGTCTGCTCAGCAAAACAAGTGCTTCCACCTTCAGTATCTATTCCTTTAGTCATCAGGGCCTCAGAGGTTGCAGTGTATCCTCCGCGCCCTGGTGAGGTATAGCTCGCAGTGTCCTGTACTTCGTGTGTCGTGAGAAAACAGGAGTCATCACCGTCATCCTGATCCGGAGTTGCAGTGTTTTCTCCGTTGCCTCTTGGCTGTGAAGCACTTAAGCTTGCTGCTGGTCCTGCTGCTTCAGAAAGATTGGTCGTGGTGTTTGATGAAGTCGTATATAGGTCCTCATTTGTGCCTACACTGGTCCCATTCACATCCAGCTGTTGCTGAGGCTGGTAGATCCCTTGCGGGAAATCTCTCTCCACAAATGTCAGCGTCATACCAGAGGAGACCGGTATTTGCTGTTCCCAGCCATAGCGACGACCTTCACTGACGACATGACATTCTGTATACCAGATGCACGGCACCGTTGGCAGCTTTGATTGAAAAAGCTCATGGACAAATGGGAAACGAATGGCTCGAAGCATGATCGTGCCTACCCATTGCTGATGCAGAAGATCAACTCTCGCCAATACCCCAATCCACTCTTCCGGGCAGACTGTGAGAACCAGGAAAGTCGGCCCGTACTCTCGGGTTCGTACAGGTACCAGTTCAGCTTGTGCTCTGACCTGGTGATCTCTCCATTGGGCAAGAATCTGCTGTCGAACAGGTCGATTGAGCGACACCTGGCAATAGCGAAAGACAAAAGCCCAACTGTCTCTCCTATCCCATGTGTGGAGCCACACCCCTACTGACTGCATTGTCTGTCCCATCATGTCATGAACGTATTGCAGCGCGATTTCAACGCTTGGCGTTGAAGGTCTCTGCATGAGTATACTTTCATCTTCATGAACGAACAGACCTTCGGTGGTAGCTGAAGGATCCTGAGCTTTGGTTCGTTGCACTCTAAGAATAAGTATTTCTCCATTAAGCCAAGACCTTGCTCGAATTGGCCTGTCTAAGGTTCCTACACTCTCTTGGGCATGAATGATTCCTTTCTTTCGAATTGCAAGAAGCAAGTTCCTCGTCGACAGCATGCAGGCATGATACGAATACACCTCCTCATGTACCACAAGCCTTTGGTCAACCAGTAACCTCTTAACAACAAAGAAAGGGCGTGCTCCAATTAGCGATGAACGGAACACAATGAAATGAGGAATCGAAAGCGCAAAATCGGCGAGAGTTTCGTCTGGACGGACTATCGTAAATTCACAGGCCCCATCGCTGCAATACTCCTGCCAGAGCATGTTGAGAGGCCGCTGGAGTTCTTGCATTCCATCTTTCTGGAGATAGATCATGCGTGGCATAGAGCCGCAGACCTCTTCCCCAGCAAACCAAGTTTGCGCAATTCGACACTTTGCTCCATCACTTTCAACATGACGAGACTGGTTTGCTTGTAATGCGAAAAGGCCCATCTGGGCACTCTTTTGCATCAAGCTCAGAGCATACTCCTCTTCGTAGATTCGAAATTTAGTTGTATCCCCACTATCGAGAAAGACGAGACTGTGATCGCAATTTCTCACAAAACGTGGGCAAGTGGCATGCACAGCATCAGGATCGGTATGGTTGCCGACCTGTGCACAAAGCAAAGGATGGGATCTACTCTGACAAGGGTTGTCATCAGCGGAAAACCTTGTGATTTCCACAACACAAAATTGAGATCGACCAGCTTCGCTTCGGAGGCCTTGTGGCAGGTCTTGGATTGCCATTTCATTAGACTGATCCCCATAAGGCCATAGGGAACCTGACCTGTCAACCTGGGCATCCATAGGTAGTCGATTGCTGTCTACCCACCAGCCCATTTGTGTAGTCACATGGACACATTCGGCCCCACCGATGAGCAAGATCAGGACCATAGCGTCATAACAGGTCTTTCTAGACTTCTTCTTTGGAGGTCGACAGCGACAACATCCGATCACTCGTGCTTTGCCGAGAGACATGGACGGCAGCATCGTCTCCTCCCGTCTGCGTCCAAGGACACCTAGGATTCCAAGTCCTAGGATTCCCAGATTGAGGTAAAAGGCTCTCTGAAGGATCTGCACACCTCCGAATCGAGCATAGCCTTCGGCGTCCTCTTCAGCCAATTCCAGCATTATCCCATTACAGCTTATCACGATGAACTGTAATATAATGTAGGCAAAATAGCCATTGACACCGGGCCAAAAATAAACTTGCTTTTTCTGCAGCATAGATGACCGCAAATTGGCGGATAGACTGGCTACTTCTCCGAGGACTCCAGAAAAGCACCCAACCCAAATACACGAAATGATAAGGAGGAAAATACCTGTCCAGAAGCGTTGGAAAATATCACGGTACCAGGAAGGATCATGACCACTTCTGACACAATCTTCACCTCGATGTCGCCCAGAGCATTCCACATTGGTCTTTTCCCCTAAATCAAAGACCGCTGCATAGCTCTCCGGAGCGCGAGCGTCTCTGGTCAGTCGCTGTACTTGCTGACCAGCCCCATACGATCCCCTTCTAACAAGGGGAAAAAGAAGTTCAGAAGCCTGATTTAAAACAGGCGGTATGCCTACCACACAGTTGGTTAGACCATCATTGGGCAGGACTCTAGGTGTAACAGAACAAAACCAAAAGGCAAAAGGTTCTGAATGAAAGGAGCTGCCTTGAAAGTTGGCGCAATCCCTTCTGCTGATCACCGTCTGCAAGGTCATGACATGATATCCATGCGCTTGCACCTGCCACCATCCGGTGTGCGATTCGCCTGCTCCCTGTCGTTCTTGGGAGTGGCATAAGGCTCCGATTTCGACTTTGCAGCAAATCTGCGAAAAGGCTGACAAGGATGCTCTAACTGAAGAGGGAGCCCACCCTGTTCTTTCGCTGCAGCATCCATAGTCCCTTCTTCTTCTTTCCCTAGACCATCTGTTGGCTCTTCCGTCATCATCGCATCGATAACTTGCTTGGACAAGTCGATGACTGCTTGCCATGTAGCAAATTCCTGTGGTCTTTCTTGGATCACTTGCATGATCTTCTGCTGGCATGCAGCCGGATATTTCTGGATCTCCTGCTGCAAGTCTTCGATGCGATATTGCATCTCCGCCTTTGTCATACTTTTGTCTTTTGGCGGAGTCCTTGAACGTCCTCTTTTCTCGTCTGTAAGCTCTTCGCGCTCCTTCTTGATCTGCGCCCCTATGGTCAATGGGGGCTTCACTTCCTGCTTGGGCGAAGTATTCGGGAAGCTGCCAGTGAGGACATTTCCGCTGACTGCCCCAATCAGCTGTGTCATCTGCGCCTGCATGGCTTCCAGCATCTGCGAGTTGCGGACTTCGAGCTGGGTGCTGTATTCCGTGAACTCCCGGAACTGTGCCTTGACCTTCTTCAATTCCTTCTTGAGCATGTGAGTCTCTTGCTGTAGGCCTTCCTCGCTGTCGGAGTCTACCTCTAGCATCTCTGGCTCGTCCAACTCCCCTTTCTCGAGCCTCTTTAACTCGCTCTGCATCTCGGCCATCAAGCCGGTATGCCTCTTCTCTTCTTTTTGGATGTTGCCACTGACCGTCTGCTTCCACGATTGGAATTGCTGTTCTTTTTTCATCATCTCGTCTTTGACCTTGCAAAGTTTGTTCAAGGCCTTCCGCTCTGCATTTAGCTCTCTCTGTCGTGCTTTGAGCAGTTCCCGTGGGTCGTCCTTCACAAGGTCGATGACTTCCGGCAAGATCTTGGGCGCCTCGCCAGGTCGAGTGAGAATGCTTTTCATCTGGGCTTTGAGCTTTGCATTCTCTTCTCGAAGCTTGGCCTCCTGTGAGGATGCCTGTGAGGATGCCGACCACGAGGGACCAGAAAAGCCATCTCCCTCTTCGATGTCGATTCTTCTTCCATCGTAGCCTGTCATAAAGCTCCTTCCCTCTTTCGTATTTTTGTTTTCTGGTCGTCTCTTCTGCTGTGGATTCCACTGAGTCTGATCCCAGTACCATTCGCGGTCCTTCTTCCATGGCATACTATACTGGGGCTTCGAGTGGTGCCGTTCCAGCAGCCGCTGTGCAAAGAGCGCTCTCTCTGCAAGCTTTCCAGAGGGGTTCTTTTGGAACCTTTTGACCAGTGCTCTTGCCTTAGAACGGGCCTTTCTCGCCCTTCGATGCCAGCTAGGGCTATTTGCCTTCCCTATGGCTGCGCAGTCGACGCGTGCTTTCGCACTGGGGTTCGCGGCTAACCGACTGGCCTACCTTGAACCCTGTCCGGTACAACGGGAAAACAAACGGCCCCGCAAGGAATCCGCGCTGGGAAGACTATATATAGCTGACTCCAAAACCCAGTTTCTTTTAACCCGACGTGGGTTTGGAGACGTCTTTCCTCTCCAACCCGACCGTGGGGCTTCAGGTTAATGGACCTCTTCCCGGGTGTAACCGAAATCCAGGGCGAACCGATCGAAACTCTTCCAACCCGAAGCACCGATGCGACACGAGGGCTCGCAGCCGTTGGGGCACGTGCAGCCATGGCGTTTTCGTCGCTTGGGCACGTCCATAGTCCATGGCGAGGGGACGTAGGAGTATAATAGGAGTATAGTGAGGTGTTCAAGGTGACATGTTCATGTACTAAATTGCCTTCTGACAAGTACTACACTATCAAGGAGCATGACCAGGGACTTCGAATCGAAGCCTCTCTTAATCAAAGTGACCACTTGAGGCGGTAAAAGCCATATCCTGCTTGAAGGGCACTTCCATACTGCCCCGTGAAGGGCAAGGACACATGATGGACACATGCCTGGTGGCAAGGTATTCATGTGTTTCGCACTACAGGCGTCAGTATAGCACATCAAGGATCTTGAATGATCTTGATCTACAAGCCAGCCAGCCCTACAACAGCTGAGACCTTGCAAAGGGGTTGAGATGGGTTGAGGTTGAACAACCATGTGAAGAACAAAGTCTCATTCAGGGACCCTGCTGTGGGGGAGGCGCTTCAAAGGCCTTTGAGCCTCCAAAGAGTGCTTCGACCTAGTCGCTTCGGTCGCGGCTCAAGGGCACATCACGTCCGAACAAAGTGGCTTAACCAACACAGGCTTTTGGAGACTTAAAAGTGGCGGCAGGTGGCGACCTGATGGAGGGTGATGGTTTGTAGGTGGTGTGATTAGATTGTGATTAGATGATCGGAAGATATCGGACAATACCAGCAAAGCTTCTATAGCCTTTCGAGTTTGGTCCCACGTGTCCAGAGCGGATTGGCAACAGTTTCCGAATAGTCTTCGACCAGGTGTGCCAATCGAATGTCAAAATTCTACTCAAAGCTGGAACATCTGTGCCCAACCCAAGCCTGTTTTGCCTCTACAAACTTGGCCCTCCAAGTTCTTGTGATCAGGAGCTGGTCCGTACATCATGTGACACTGTCTGACTAGGGTGTATCTCTTCTTGGATGTTTCTGTCCAGGAGCTAGGGAAAACCTTTAATTATAAACAAACCTCCCATTTAGGGAGTTCACAATTACTCACCCCTATGGAAAACAATCACAGCCTGATCAAGCCGGAAAACATGAAAACAACTCCACTCTTCCACCGGATTCCGGGGATTTGAGCAAACCGGGAACCTCCTCACACGCAAACCGCCCACACCAGGCTGTCTGAAATTCCCCCGCCCCAAACATGTCCGTGCCGTGGTCGACTGGTCAGCCGGGGGGGAAGGGCCTCGGACAGAAGGACCTCCACCGAAGCAGGAATGTCCTGCGACTCACATCGGGGTGAATGTCCGATGGCCAAATCCGCTGAAAGCGTTCTGAAGTTCTGAAGGAACCATGCTTCCCCTAGCATTAAAAAAGCATTGCGACCGGGAAAACATGATGCTTTCTTTCTATATATAATTCCCCAGACTGTGCTATGGGGTTCTCACTTTAAATAACAGTGGTCTATGCTGGTGTAATTCTATCATATTCTATAATTAGGGTCCCTGCCTTGCAGGTTTGGATTTAAACCTAAGTCGCACCCACCCAGCCACCCATGCGTGCAAAACCCACGAAAAGCTGTAGCACTATGTCGTCTTTATTCGGATGCCATGTCGTTACATGGTTACATCATCCATGAACCGTACAAGAAACCGCACGATATCGCTTTCTTCACACCTGACGAGACACCCAGTCAATTGAGCAAACCCTGCCGACCGCTGACGAGGTCCACATGGACCCTGAAAACCACATGGACCCGAGGAAAACCCTCGTTCAATGTGCCCTTCTCATTTTCGCGTTCACCCTGGAATGTTCGGGAGTGAACAACACATAACTAAGCTTATAAGGGCATCGTTAAGAAGAAAGGGCATCGCTACTAGGAGCGTTCGGACGCTACTAGTAGCTCCTGGCCTTACCATTAGTAGCATCCTTACCATCTTCTTGAGGGGTCCTCTGGAAGATGTAAGTTCCATTTTTGGCTGTAAACTACCTCCTAAATGTAGGCCAACATTTTGCCGATAAGTTAACTTACATGTTTCAAAAAATGTAACCTTACATTTGGGAGGCCCCCCCGCTGCATGCCACGATTTTCCTCTGTATCTCTTCCCCCCCCAAATGCTCTGGAATTCCTGGCGTGTGATGGCATATGTGATTCCTGAGGAACAACCGAAGGCCACTGACAGCAAATCCTAGGAGGGGTTTAGCTTACATTTAGGAATTGAGTGAGTTAAGGGTCCTCCCTAAATGTAACTTATTTTTTTTGACCGCCCCACCCCTATCTTAAAATGTAAGTTACATTTCCTGGAGGACCTCCCATTTGCAGAGCATTGATGGGGGTAGGGATCTAGTCGCAAGAAGCTACTAGGAGCAAAGGGCATTACTACTAGTAGCATTCTTACTACTACTAGTAGCAAATAGCTACCAGTGTGGCTCACGGAACTTGAACGCTCTTGCCCAGTGTGCGAGTGTGAACACAAGCGGTGTGGCTGAACCGGCCTGGGCGTTGTCCAAGGGAAGTCGCAGGAGTTGCGCCTGCGGCGCCTGCGATCCGAGTGGAGCGTTGTGATGAGGGCGAAAATCCGGAAAGCACTCGAAAGAACAGGCGAAGCTGGCACGATGTTCCTAGGGTGTAGTGATGCTTTCTCACTGATTCTTTTCACAAATTTGTTGGGTGGCAACTACCTGGCTCCAGATCCCAGTTGCGACAAGCTAAGGAACCAGGGTTTCTTGGTCCATGGCTTTAGCCTTTGGACCATTGGTTGCTTACGACCTCGTGGTGGCCAGATCTAGTGGGATTGTCCTGGCAAATGTACCCTGCCCCCCTCATACCGGTCATCGACGTGGCTATATACCCTAGAACTCCTGGCCCACCTCCGTTTTCGAAGATGGGACAGGGGTGGGTGGGTGCCAGGGGGGTCTAACCACGACTCGTTGGAGCTCCTTGGCCCACCATGCTCAGCGCTGCTTCAAGCAGGAAGGGCTGCTTCAGGCCACTCATGATGCCCCTTACTGGGAAACGTGAACCTCCCAAGCCCAAACCGGGCGGAAACACCTACGCCTAAAGGGGCAAAACAGCAGTGTTATGATACGTCATGTTTCAATGTCTCTCAAAGCATCCACTGTGTTTCAGAGTCGTTGTAGTTTACTGGCATCTGTGCTGGCCTCTGACCCCAGGACTGCAATCCCTTTGCGGTAGCACAAGCTGCTGATTGGAGCACCCATGGTCCAACCTCGCAGGGACTTGCCACAAACGGAACATGCCTGAAGAGTTTTGTCACCCTCCAAGGGACAGCGTTGGTGGCTACACCATCACTTCGTTAGAACATGATTTAAGCCCGCTAACTAGCTGTGCCTTGGACTGACCGCAAGTCGCGTGTTTGAGCTCTGCTTTGCAGTGGCTTCAGAGTAGATATCACAATCCCCTTTCGGGGATTGATACGGACTTCCAAAAAGACCTCTTGGGGTGCCAAAGCCATCTTTTGCAATCTATTTACTCTTGAAAGCACCGTAACTGTAGACCCCCAAAGGGATAGAAAAGCAAATCCCCACTGCAGAGTCTATTGGATCGCTTAGTCTTTCTGGGGTCCACATGTGAACTCGCACCGGTGGACAGGCTGATCACATGGACAGCTTCGCTCGCACCGACCACTCTTGACCCTTCGACCGTTCGTCCAGGTTCGGGGCTCTGCTGCTGGTCACCCTCCAGGCTCCAAAGCCGCAGCGTGCCATCCGCCGAAGCCTGAGAATGGCAAGCTGGGTGAATGGCTGAGGTAGGTAGAACATGCCATGCCAGTTCCACTGGAAAAAGCGGCTGACCAGTGGGAATTGAAGCCCAAACAGGCCCGAAGACCTCAAAATGCAGCCTTCAAAAGAAGGAAAAGATCCAGACTAAAACTTAGTTCACTAGTATCAAAGGGTCCCCAGTCTTCTGCATGCACCGAATCAAAAACTCCAACCAATTCTGGCCCATGGATTTGACATGCTTACACACGGCACAGCACAATCACCCAAGCCAACAAGGACAAGGACACATCAATTGATTCCCGAATGCTCCACTTCAGCCCCGTCTTGTTAGGGTCCAAGAATGCGACCTAAACCAGCACGCAAATCGACAGGTCTCCTTTGGAGGGTTGGGAAGGGCCCGAAGCACACACTTGGTGACCCGTTTTTCAGGTGCAGGGATCGGGGCGTGGCCCACAGCGCCGGTTGGATCACCTTCCCTAATATGGATCCACTGCCACCTTCGAAGGTCATTGGACCTTCCTGGCGCCTACATTTAATAGATATAAATAGTCTCCCTGCTCACCGTACCTCAGGTTCGGTCTGTGGATCCGGCTTGAGAACCTCCCAGCCGACTCCCATGGCACCGATAGGATGCTCTCCGTCTCCGTCACCGAGACAGCCTCCGACGGTGTCGCGGAGGGACCGCTGTCGCGGAGGGCGAAACGGTCGCTAAAGCGCCACCAACGTCCAGGACCAGCGTTCGAACAGTTTTCTTTGCTTTCATCGGTTTCTTCTTCTTCTTCTTCTTCTCAATATGTCTCAAGCCAACCAATTACGGCCATAAGTATGGCCCATACGGGTCAAGGTCTTACCATCCAAATTGGGGGGTGGTGTTCTTCATCAAGAGTCGACGTCACTGTGTTTGGGCTGGTCCAGGACGTTCAAAAGTCAACTGAAAGCTCAAATAGGGCGCGCGTCAAGTCAGCTATAGGGCTTGGTCGTTTGTATGAGTTTTGTCAACTGTCTGCTGTCGTTTTGTAGCTTGCTGTCTAGGCTTGTCAACTTGGAAAGCCTCACAAACCAGTCTGGTCAGGTATTGCTCGGGCTTGGAAGCCAGACATTCTTAGTCCAGCTTGCGCCTACGGGCCCCAGTGGCGCATCGCCAGATTCAGTGACCAACAAGGATGCGCGGATTTCATTGGATTTCCACATGTGGAAAAGCTCGCAAGACCACGGGATTTCAGTTAACCTGTGGGTGATATCGAACTTTGCAAGCGAGAAAAGGAGCGAGCCGAATGTAAGAAAACATAAAGTTCAACCTTCTTGGGAGGACTGGGCTGATTGTGTGGGCCGAGTGCTCTTCTTACTTGATCCTAAAATGCGTGTACTGGGGCCACCTTGCTTCCCTAAACCCGGAGTACCCAACAAATGTAGCACTCCACGTGCCAGGCAGCTCTGGATCGGTAACACCCCAACCCTAACTAATGTAGCACTCCACTTAATGGAACTTAACAAAGCCTAAGGCCTAAGGGTTTGCAATATACAGCTCCGTACCGGGTCTTGAACTCCCAGGCACCCTTCTCGAACAAACGCGTGTCCTTTCCACCCTTCTCCCTCTTTTGGTCGAAACACATATAAACACATCCACTCTGCTCTTTTGACAAGGTCGGGTTGAATCATCGACCTGGCAATTGATGATGTAAGTTGACAACTAACCATCCACCCCAACACCCACCACGTGCCCAGCAGCGGTGATTTGCATCAAGTGCCCCAAGCAAAAGCTCCGGATCTCCGCGACCTGCGAGTCGCTGCGAGCTGACCGGATCAATGCACCGGGGGGGGGGGCAGCGAGGGCCATTGCGAGGGCGGGCAGTGAGCAGAACTGTCAAACTTCAGATCGAATCAGAACATCTTGATTTAAGTAAAACAAAACAAACAAAACAACAACATCAGTAACAACATGTATATAAACCAGCTTCTTCAAAGTGCCTCTTTGGAGTGCCTAAGTGACCTTTTACAGGCCCAAGTGACCTCAAACTGCGATATCAAAAGGTCAATTTGAAGAACCAGGAAAACATATAACAAATAAAGGTAACGTAATTAAACACATAAAAAGTATTTAAGCGTGCCTAAAGACTCCAAGGACAACAAGGTGGGCCAGGGGTGGGTGCCTTGGGCCTGCTCCTACCTTCTGAGAATGTGGGGGTGTGGAGCCCCGGGAGAAAGGCCTGAACCGTCCAGGCACCGTTTCTGGAGCCGTAGCGGGAAAAATGCAGGGATTCAGAAGCCAAAAGCATCCGGGTTCAGGTCTTTGATTCAGGGTATCTTGGGGTCCTCCATGGATCCTCTTAGGATCTTCCGCCTCCACGTGCCTCTGAGACCTCCTGGCAAGATTTCCAAGTTTACCCCTACAGCTCCGCAAAGATGTGCATCAAATCAGGTCCAATCCAAAGCACCAAAGCACCGTCTCAGAAGGTCCCAGAGCACCCATCGACGATGCAGCCATCTGCACAAGGTCCCAGGGGATCCCCGTCGCCTCAGGGTAGTGGCTGATCCGTAGGCGCTCATGGTTATCTCCAACGACCAAGAAGCGTTGGGAGGGCGTCAAGACCAAAGCAGTGACCTGCCGGTCACGGTGCCGCATGCGATGGCCAAGCCCCGTGAACCTGGCTAGTCGAATGGCCCCTCACCATGTTGACCCTGGTCATGCGTGAAAACTCGCCGACACCTGGGATCTCCAAACCATTCGAAACCTCTTTTGTACCTGGACTTCAGGGTGTATGCCCTCATATTTCCTCCAAGGGGCGATGGCAAAGTGGCTAGACAGCATCTCTGGCTCTTGGTCGCTGGAGGGCGTCCAACGACACACGTCGCCAAAGCGGTCGGCCAAAATGATGCGACCCTTGCCTCAGTTCTTCGGATCGAGACGGTCTTCAGGCGTGGCATCGGGACAGCGATCGACCTATGTCGCTCTCCCATGAAGTGGTCCTGTTGGCATGACCTCTAGGACTTTTGTTCACTTTGACTCATTGACTAAATCATGACTCAATGCTTCGCATGACAGCGTAGATTCATGCATATTATATCCCAAGGTCTGCCAGCAGCAGTGCATGATGATGGTTAGCTGCTAAGCTCAAATATTCAAATGCAAAAAGGAAACGACTCTTCCAGGTGATGGGACGCACATGGACCCACTCCAAATACCATGCATTCACAACCTTCATCACTTCTCCCACCTCGTGGCTCCCTGTGTTCTTCCCTTCCACCGGAGTCCAAACCGACATCCCATTCAGGGACTGCCAAGGCCGGTGCGGTCGAAGATGGCGCGGGTCAACTTCTTCTGGTGGCTCAGTGTCTCGTGGATCTGCCAACTGCTCCTGGGCGGCGACGACGGCCACGTTCACGTGGCCGGACGGACCAGGGAAGGTCAAACATCAGGAAGGCCGGGTTTACGCAGCCGACTGTCACAGAACTGGGGGTAGGGAAGCGTGCATGATCCGAAAACTGGTTCAACTTAACAATGAAGCGTGCACAAAGAACAAAACCCTTCCAAAGTTAAAAGAAGAACATAGTTATTAGAGGCTAGGGTGCCCAGGATCCAGTCACGAAAGGGTCTTAAATCCATGCCTTTTGGCATTTCCGCTTGTGATAAAGTCCAAAGGGCCTCTCCGGTTTGGGGTTCCAAGTGCTCGAGCAGTACTCCTCATCTGAAGTTGCAAGAATCATCTGAATCGGGTGGTTCGGTGGTTCTGGACCCCACAAGTTTGGATGTGACAAAACATATTGCAACATAGCGCGGTATACGGAGCAGTCTAGTCTCCTTCCATATTCCTTTCTAGATGTTCTACTCCAAAAGGATCTTGTATACTTAGCACTGCAAATTCTGAGGACGATCCCTGTTTTCACCCAAAGAGTCTGCATGTCTATGATGTTTCATCCGGCCAGGTACCCATGGTTCCCATCGTCCAGCCAGGTGGTCACTGTCTTGTCATCACCTGACCATGCGGATCGGCCGATCTCGGCCATGAGGAAGCTCTTTGAAGCTGCAATAAACCTGGATCTTCCAACAACTTTTGGCTGGTTCTTTATGGATGAAAAGGCAGAAGTTTGTCACAGTTGGAAAATCCAGGAATAAATCGGAATAAGCGTGAAACAACCATGGAACTGGAACATGGCCCCTGGAAAAGCCATGGAATCCTCTACAAACAAGGGGGTTGTCCACTTCCATGCTTGTTGAAGTGTAAATTTTAAAAAAAAACAACACACACACACATACATCATCCTACTTGGATCGGCTGATGAGGTAGATGATGCTTGCTGGACATTGGACATGCGAACCGTTAAAACAAGTACTAGGGTACAAACCCTCTGGACAAGCTGAGAAAGCATCTTCTCCTAAAAATCCTGAATCAGGCTGTTGCGGCTTTTGCATCACTCACCACTTCGCATCATCACCCCACACAAGTGGAAGAAGTTTAACCTTCATCTTGACCCTTCGGAGGCTCATCCCGCTTCACTTCGACACTTCCCACCACTAGCGGCACCCGGAGCACCTGCCGCCAGCCACAGCAGTTTCCCCTCGCCCTGCCACACGTCCAGCGCTCTTACAGGCCCCAGGGTTTCAAGGTCTGCAGCTTTCGCTTCGAAGGCTTTCAGCTGGAGGTCATAGGCGAAAATCCGGCCTGGGGGCTGGCTCCAGGCTGTATTAAGACAAGGGTGGCAACCATAGCAGCGAGCCATACCCTCAAAATCCTTACTTCCTTATAGTCTCAATTAAACTTTTACTTTTCAGTTTTTACTTGGTCCTGTTACTAGCAACAAAAAATATTGTTTGCTCAACGAGTCTTAGGCAAAGTTCTATATAAGTCCCAGTCGTGTTGTTCCGAGGGGCGAGCCGTTGCAGGGTTACTCAACGAAAAACCTTTTCTGCTGGCATGGCCTGCTGGCCTGGCCACTCAGTCGATACATATTTAGCTAGGCCCCAAGGGTCTGATCTAGGCCCCAAGGGTCTGATGATGTAACAAATCCCGATGTTACTCACATGGAACCTCACAATGGTCCCCTGGTTTCCTCTACCAACCAGTGGTTTTGGGGTTCCATGTTGATCTGCAGGGTGGTACATATATAACTATATTATTATTATATACCCAAGTAGTTTGCATTGTTCGGGCCAGGACAAACTGGACGCTCCCGAAGAAAAACAAACTTGGACACTTGGCCAAGTCATGTTTCAAAGGCCTTCACTGCAACAAACAAGTCCTTCCCATGATGAACTTTGGGGCACCTGGAGGGTGTTGGAATTCCAATCTCAACTCCTCTGCCTTTGTGCTCCATCCAACCTGCCAATTGTAATTGTATACCAAAACATCTCAGGCGGTCCAGCCGGATCACCCGTGTACAACCCGGTCCTCATGGACTAGGTTGCGCACAGCTTCAGTTTCATTTTCCCTCGAAAAATGCTGATGTAGCTGTGTTGGTTCCACCTGTTGGATTTGAGTGGGGTGTTGTTGGATTTGAGTGGGGTGTCCCATTGTGTCCCCAATCTCCCCCCCAAAAAAACATGTTTTTGCAGGCTGATCCACCTACTTCCCGGGTAGGTCACTGCTCGTATGACCTTCGCCAACGCTGTGGACCAGGAGCGCTGGTGGAGTGCAAACATGGGGCGGGTGGAGCAAAGGTGCGAAAGTGTAAACGAGTTGCGGACGTGTTCACTTTAAAAAGAACATCATTTCATGTGTTTAAATGTCATGCTTCCTTCATCTATCCTTCCATTAGGGTTCTTGTAATAGAATCACTTGTTATGCTTTCAGTTGGCATGACTGGGAGTCAGCCTGGGCCATTCCACGACGCCTCCGGCTTGTGAGCCTATTCCACGAAGCCTCATGAGGGTTGATCATGGTTCATCCCAAAAGATATTGCAGGTCGCAAGACCCTGAAGATCCAGTCGTACCTTCTCAGGTACGGTGATGTGTTCGACACTGTTATATAGGTTTGGAAGGATCCAGTCGTACCTTCGTTTCGCAGTTGGATCCCCAGAAAGGGATATCCCACTTCGGATCTCTCCATGGGGCGTTTTTGTCTCTCTCTCGCTCTCTCTCTCTCTCAATGCTCGGCGGCTCCGGGCTTCAGGGGGACGGCTTCCCGTGTCTTTTTGGCCATTGAAAAATAGAACGGAAACATCCCTCAAGCCGTCTTGTTCAAATTCTTCGAATTGTTCTTTCTTAACTTGTTTTTTTTCATCCCTCATCCCTTCATACGTATCGAGGTCTTTTATGGGGTTACTTGCGCTCCCTGAAAGAGTGTTACTTGGATGGCACGGCCCCGATTTCGGATGACGAAATCCAAACACCAAACAGGTGCGACAGCTGGTCATTTTCCACTTCTGTGGATGATTCTAGGGAGTGTAACCTGTTTTTCCCACCTGTTGGATTTGAGTGGGACAATCTCCCCAATCCACCAGAAACGGTTTTGTAGGTGATCCACATACTTCTTGGGCAAGGAGAGTATCACATGTCATAATATAATTAACATGAACATTTACCTTTTGAAGACCATGTTCCTCTATACAAACCGATGCTTCTCAGGTTCCATGTGGGTCTCTTCCAGGGTGTCTAACATGCGTTCACCTCTTCTGCTAGGGCACTTCCAACAGCCCACACCACACTCGAACGTGTAGGGTGCAGCACGATCGGCACCACTGGAAGCGCGAGGGGCTTCGACATGGCGCCTTCACTGTTAAGGCTGCATAGCTGGGTAGGCTTGCTCAGCATCACTTCAGGGTGTCCAAGTTCCTTCCAATATGTCACCAATCGTGTAGTCTTGCGAAACATTCTACCTCAAAATATGCATCCAGGACCAGGTTGGTGGTAAAAGCGGTAAAATGGCTATAAAATGGCTAAACCCTGGGCCTTCCCCACGCAGGAAACACTCCCCAGCATTTACGTTTCATGGTCTCAAGTCCCTCTGCCACAGCTGCTTGCTCGTGCCTGCTTCCTCTCGCTGTGTTCTATACACATCTCTATGTTTCTTTCTCTCTCTCTCTCTCTCACTTTGGTGCACCTCTCTCCGAATCAAGGGCGCTGGGTTTGATAAGTACAGGACTGCAGCCAAGCAGCTATGGGTCATGGATTCTCCTCCCCACATCCCCTAGATCTTCCCCGTCCTCACGCAAACGTTTCATCCTTCACACTTAACCCACTCACTGGTCGGATGTGCTGAATCCTAAAGAACGAAAGCGGATCCATAGTGACGTGGCACTCCAAGACGGATCCGCACACCTCAAGCTCGTCCAAGGAGACCAGGCGGCACATGGCGAATCCATTGGCGAAACCAAGGTTTAGAGTCTAAGTAGGCCCCCCGCACTTCTCCTCGTGAATTGGAAAAACAACATCTCTTTTCTACAAATCATTACAAATCACGCTGCAATGAGGCCCTCAGCTGATGCTCCAACTCTCTACGCATTTACCTGACCCATTCCAGGTCAAAGTGGCGATTGGGTGCGAACTTGAACAAAACGGGGGAGGTCAGTATCTGTAAGTCGTCATCAAGCACCATCAACAATCATCCAGGTTTCTCATGTGTGGCTCCTTCAACATCCACACACCCTTGTGGTTTCTGACCCCTTTGCTTTCCACACACGAATGCCTGCTCCCGACGGCCTCTTCAGTGATGGCTGACACCCTTTTTCGCCCAAATCCTGCGAGGCACCTCGCAGTAACGATCCTATGGCTGATGAGTTTGCCAGGTCAATGACCTCCTGCCTCGCGCGGATCCTTCGTGGCGAATGCTGAGACTGGTAGATTCGGTGATGTTCTTTCGAATGTACCAGGAGATGTGGTGATTTCGTTCCGGAGAAACACGATAGTTATATGTATGCACAGTCTTAAACAAAATTCTAGATAAAACTCTGCAGTAATAATTGTACACCCCATTTCTCGCACAAATCAATTAAAAACGGATTGAATAAATAGTAAGTCTTCTTTGTGCAAATGTTCTTTTGAAGATGGGACACCTGGCCAAGCACCTTACAACACGCCCAAAGGATAGTTTCATATCGTCGACCCTTTAAGCGGTTGCCAAAGTTCAAGAAATCAATTGCAAGTGCTCGAAAACAAGCTCATAATGTGTCTTATAACCTCTACCATCCTGAACCTACAAGATCCTACAAGTAATTATAGAAGAACTCTACTGAACTCTACATTTAATCCTGGGGGGCCTAGAAAACTGGGCGTGTCCTACTTGGTGGATTCCATGGTGTTGTTGTTTCTTGGGTGCTTGAGGAGTCGAAGCACGGCAAGTCGTGGCCCACGACGGAGGCATTGACCCATCTCATGCCAGACCGTCCTCTGCACCAGGTCTGGTGGGTCTTCCTTCAAACAACGAAAGCCCGAACCATGTCCTACCTCACCGTGAATGGTGTCTTTTTCTTTGTCTGGCTCGCTCACCAGAAGGTAGCGGTTCCACTTGGGAAGTTGGCTTGAAATCTCAATCTGCCACATGTTGCGCCGTGACCGGGGGCCCCGCAAATCATCCATGTTGGGTTGGTCCAACCCCCCGGATGAACCCAATAGGTGGGTCCTTCCTTGAGTCTTCTTGGGCCCAGGGACTTGGAGGTCCTGGGACTTGTACGCCGCTTAGAGGGTTCTCTGTGGGTGATTCTGCATTCCACCCGGCCAGCCGGCTCAGCCGAAGACAGTGTCAACAGTACCTTCATGTACCTTCCATTTAGAGCAAATATAGAGCTGCTTGTTTCAAGCCCTTTGAGTGGTGGCACCCATCCAGACTTCTTTTGCTTGCACTGTATGTCCCGACCATCCCCAATCTTGGTGATGAAAGCCCGCACACCAGGAGTGCATGTCGTTTTCTCCCATCCAGTTGCATGGGAAACATATGTGCCCCTCGGTCCACCAAGTCCGTACGATGGAACTCCATCCTGGATGCACCAGTCCGTACAGCCAATCTTTCAATCCACACAAGTCCTGGGGACGAACTGGGCTGCTCCAACTTCCACTCTCGGTCAGCTCGGTCTCCACGGAAAAACCCGCTACAACTTGCCGGTCTTGGGACGAACTGGGAAGTGAAACCAAGGACTTCACGGCTCAGTACTGGCGAGAATAGATCAGCAAGTATTCCGGAAAGGTTTGGTCCTGTCGAAGTGCGGAAGTCTGGGAAGACCTACTTGAGTGGGAGACAGGAGACACCCTGTTGGGAGGTTTCCTTATTTTGAATACACTCCCATTTGAAGCTCTGAGAGCCCGCGTGCGGCACAGGGTGTGCTGTTGGACGGATGCACTGGTGCAAAACCCAAGAACTACACTCCGACGAACACATCATGGCCGCCCCAAAAAGCTCTATATAATGTATGTAGATGCACACTGGACCAGAACCGTCTTAAAGACCTAAAGATGTGCAGTGTGTGACACAGTATAGCTCAACATGTTTGCCCTTGGCAAAAAGCTCAAGCCTTGTGGTCCTTGTACTGTGGGTACGCATATGTAAATACATACAAGTAATGACGACGACATTGACACGTATATGTATGCATACATATACATGCAGATAAATGTATAAACAACATGTACTAGTGTTTTTGGTATGTAATGTACATATGCATAAGAGCGTACGTGTATGAAACATGACTTGTAAACTGTGTAGACTAAGCAAGCGTCAGGGCGACTCTGCACCCCAAAAAACAATCGCATTCACATGTGCCCCCGAAAGAACTTGAGCATGCGGGGCATGTGATGTCCAATGTGACCCCTGTTTAGATGTGACCCTGTTTCATCCTGTTTCACTTCACTAGAGTCAAATGAAGGAAAAAGGACACCCACCGTCCCTCAAATGGTCCATTCTTGGACTTAGACTCCAAGACTGGACGGTACCACCCAGGTGGTGACCTGTCGGTTTTCCTACAGCTCCCACCAGGTCATCAGGACCTTGTCGTACACAACGACCTCCTTGTACCTCGAAGAGGGCCCGGGCAGCGGCGCAGCGGCGCAAGGGGCGGGAAACTGGAAGACATCACTGTCACAAAAGCTGAGAATCTACGTCGTGATCCCGCCCAACAAAATGGCTTGCAGACTGTCCCACCAGTTGCGCCGTGATGGAAACTGAACCCTTTGAAGGCTTTGAACCCTTGGGCCGTAAGCTGTCGCAGGCTTTGGAATCGACAACTCCCGTATTCCAAAGCAGAATCGGCTCAGAGCTCAGGGACTATGGACTGCCTGACGATATCCTAGTCTGTCCCGAAAGTCTATCCCCGCGCGCACGGCAACTCGGTCGCATGACCGGTTGGCGCACGGCTTGCCAAGGCTACTGACCCGGTCACCAAAGACCTGCTCTCGGCGATTCGCGAAAAAAGACTCTGCAGGCACAGGGGTTTCGCACCAGAGTCTATTGACACGCAGGGTCCAAACAAAAGGGTCTATTGGCAGCATTGTATCCCTTTTCAGGTTGATGTATGTTCCGTTTGGTATTTCTATCTACTGTGGGATCACTATTAAAAAAAAAGGCAGGCTCGGAGATGATATGTATGTATATATAGCACATAAACCATTTATTTGCAACAATCTGGGCGTGGAATGATCTTTTCGTTGTCTCATCCAACCTGATCAATCCTAGCTCATCCTAGTTCCAACCGCAATGTGTAGACTGAAGGGAGAAGAGTGCACACTCGTGATTTTGTCTGGCTGCAGCTCACACTACCAGGTGCCCGGCTGAATGGAAAGGCCCATCAAAGACATCCTTCCTGCCATGCAATGAAGTGTGTCAAAATCATGTAATTAATCCTCTCAGTGGACTCTACTGTGGATGGACTGAATATTGCACCCTTTGGCTACTACCAAACCCTGCAACGTCCGCGGGGCTTTGTGACTCTCTAAGGTATGGGTGTGTTTCTAAAGATAGGGACCTCCGGGGCCCGTACCAAGTGGGGATGATTTGCGGGTCCTCTATTTGGAGAACCCGACAACTTTATAATTGCACAACAATTAAGTGCTGCTAGATTCACTTTGTCAGCCGTTTTGTCCGTCACTGTTTGCGAATCATTCCAAATTCACATCAAAGCCACTCAGAACCTGACATAGAAATCCTGGGCCAACCTTCTGGGATCAATATTGTCAACATAGGATTAAGTAACCTCCCCCTATTAGTCAAGCCCAGCTCGAGCCCCCAATACTAAACTAATTTAAAACCTGGTACATTAGTACATCACCCTAATAAAAGGTCTTTCCTAGCAGAAACCTCCCTCTATTATTAATCAAGCTCAGCTCCCCTAGAAAAAAAGTAATTAGTTCTATAATTATGTATTATCAAATTTCTTATCGGGCAGTATCCAATATCTTCTGGTCCACTGCTTCTCACCCTCCTTCTGCTTCATTCTCATCCATCACATTCATCCTCCTTCTGCTTCTCATCCTGCTGTTTCTTCTCAAAAAGAAACTCGCTAGCAACATTATGTCATTTTTCCTTATTGGGTACCCCTCACACAGGGCCTACCACCCTCTAATAGTAGGGGCCCTCCCCCTATTAATCAAGCCCATCCTCCGGCCTCCATCTTGCTTTCCATCTCTTTCATCCTGCAATCATTTTTCTTTTTCTAATCATCCCAACCATCCCAATCTTTCCTAATCTTGTCATCATCTCATCATCCATCATCAGGTCATCATCTTTATTAGGGGGTTATTAATCCTACGTCGACATTAGACATCGTTTTCACATCTTTGCTCAACCCAATCGAAACGTCGACAGCGACGGGTTGCCGTCGAGAACGGTCTGAGAACGCTGAACGCTGCGGTCTGCTCCATCACTCCTGAGCTTCTCCCGCTCGATCTCATTGGTGGTGACTAAGTTGCTTCGGCCACCCAGCACACGACACCTGAACGGCGGAAAAAAAGGACATGATGTAATAAAGATGGGTGGCAAGGCTGTATCCACTCACACAGGTGCGGTGTCGGGAATTTCTATATATATTATATGATATAATGCACCGGGTCTGCCAGTACCTGGACTCCGTCTCGAGTCTTCCAAGAAAGGATCATGATCCCCTATCTTCTTAGCCCACCGGCCGGTCTCCATTTGGTTCAAAGTCTCACTACCTGGTCCAAAAAGTTCTAGTAACCAGGATGGCACAAAGGGGTGGTTTTTAGTCCCTAAGTGAGTGGATACTGGGCACCCCTATCCTCCAATAGGCACCCCTTTGTGACTGCTGGAACTTGGTTCTAGTAAATGTAAACCTGCAGCTTTCATGGTTTGGAGAGCCAGACTCTGAAAGTCTTCAAATGCGTAGAGCTTGGAATCCTTCACTGCCCTCATGATCTTGTACGCTCTGATTCCGTTTGCTTGTTTTTTCTTTTGTCGGCTGCTCGAGGCAAAGTCGAGCTTCCTCAATTTCATGTGATATATTGCCCTTGAGTGTCTAGTGTTGCAGGAGACGGGCTGACTGCGCAACTGCTATTGAAGACATAATGATATATATATATATATACATACATATAGCATTATAAATTAAAGTATAACAAACTCATACAAGGAATCTGCAGAGCCCCCTGTGTCCCTCTACTAGTATAGATATCACCAGGTTGTTGCATCAACCGTAGAAACACCATATCATTGTGTTACGTCTACATGAGATAAGCTGACTATATAATCACTACTGTAGCCAAAATGAATCCAAGTGAAGATTTCAAGAAGGAACAGTGTCAATAGCAGGCCTGCTGTTAGATGTTCACCTACCAAAACCATGAACAATGTGAAGAACATTGGGAGGACAACCTTCCTCTGAAAGAAAACGACGTCCGGACGGTGCAGCTCCTGGGGACCACGTTTTCCGCCAGGACCCCCGGCACCAGGACCGCGTAGAAGGTGGACTCATGTCCTGCAGAGTCGGGTGCTGAAGTGCTGAAGTGAAGGTGAAGATGTCAGGATCGGATTCCCGTCGCGGATTGGGCTGCCCACGGATTGGGTCGCGGATTCTGCATGTGTTCCAACACACCGTGAATGCCCAAAATGACCAGTTGGGATCGGATCCCAATTAGTGGATGGGACACCCGACTTGACACCCCTTCATCGCCTTCAAAATCGTGCACCAAAAACAGCAGATGTGATGATGAAGGCGAATCAGAATGGGTTGCTTAATATACCAGCTGCTTCCAAGGGGTTACCAATGGACAACCCCACACTGCTTATAGGTCACCATTGGACACCCAAACAGGAAGCACTAGGTATGTGTGTTGTTCCGTTTCATTGGATGAGCTTGTTAGAAGGCCTGGGCCGGCCGAATTTTCAGGTCCCATTCTTCTGTGTTTCGATACAAGGACTCTCACACTCTCCTAACCCAACGGCAGCAACAACGACGACAAGCAAACAAACTACTGAACAACCAAACAGAGAAACAAAGAGAAACACCAAAGCAAGGACATAAATAACAGAAAAATAATACAACTAAAATAAGTGTAACCGAATCATATACAAAAGCAAACCAAAACAACAAACCAACCCAACCAACGAACCAACAAACAAACCACTCCACCCACCTACCCAAAACTAAAAAACAAGTCAGCTCCGCGATCCTGGATCCACAGGGAGAGGATCACCCTCTTGGATCGGGTGCGCATACTCATCGGCCTCGAGTGGGTCCGGTGAGCTGGTGGTGGTCTGTCTGGGGCAGTGTGGCAGTCGCAGACAGGTCGCGTCAGAAGGGCATGAAAACACCTTGCAGGTGCTGAACGAAGGCACCTTGCAGGTGATGGCTGAAGCATAACATAAGAAGCCAGATGAAATCCTAGAAACCATGTACCCCAACACTCCATGGGACTGTCATATTTACATACACTGGGGTGCTTGACCGTAAATGCATTGTATATATTCCATACATGGTGTACGTCATGATCCAGTACCTGCTCAGTCGCGAACAGGGCGATCATAAAAGGTCACAAACAGTGGTCACGAATCAGTCCTGCTTCTGCTTGGGGGTGGGACCACCTCCTTCAGTTCGTGAGTCACGAACAGGCCTGGAGGTGGTCAACCCCCCAAGCAGAAGCAGGACTGGTCAACCCCGGTCGCCCCATCTGAGAGGTTCGTCGATTGGTTCGGTCGATGTCTTCGGCGCCGCGGCCCGGGGATCTACGGGACCCTCCGGTGTCCAATTGAGATGCCATTCGTGTACTGCGTCGACTGACTAAACAAATGACACATATTCATATTATTGAATTTTCGAAGTATGACATACAATAAAAAACATCAAAAAGCAACAAATGAAACATAATTAAGTATAACAAATAAAATAACTACAGTATATCAAAAAGTGTTAACATCCAAAAGACGGAGGGTTCTTGGCGAAAAACCGTCCACCGACCTTTCGATCCGATTCCCGCAAAGTCCTGCGGTCCACCGACCCCTGATCGCCTTGGTGATCCGCTCCGCGAAGTAGAGGCCATAGCCATAGAGCGGCACCCCACAGGCTTTCCCCGGATCCTCGCGGCGAGTCTTCTCGGAACGAAAACGGAGGAGAACCGCATCAAGTCCAAGATCTTAGTCAAGTTCCACTATCAAACTGAATCGATTCCATTCTATTCCTATCAAGGGTCAAAAAACGAATCCAACCTATGAGTTCGCAGCGTGTTTGCATGCGAAATTCACGCAGAACTCCAGGCGGCGGAGATTGTGCAGCCACCCCTGTAGCTTCGGTAGCTTGAGGATACAGGATGGCTAAGACCCGGTCAGTAGGGCACCTGGCCAGTAAAAACTTGGATTTGATGGCATTTTTTTGATCATTGTTTTTTACATTAAGTTAAAAACAATCTTTGTTGAATATTTTGAATGAATATATTCATTTATTGGATGAAATTCTTTTAAAGCTTTCCTTCTATACCGAGCACTGAAAAATTCGTTTATTTAGCTATTGATACAAAATGTCTTGATCGATAAATAAAAATAAAAAGGTCTTTTTGAAACTACAGTGGGCGTGAAGTAGTCCAAGTTCGAAACAGTTTGTCAGTTGTTTTTTCTCAGTTCTGACCCAGTTCCCGACACATCAAGGAAGTTGACTACTGCAAAGAACAGTTCCTCCTTGGACTACTGTTTTACATCCCTGCCATTGAGCTTTACATCCCTGGTTGAATCATTTCCTCCTTCGTTCTTTTGATCCAAGGGGCTGCAAGTGGGTTCTGCGCAGGTGCTTTTGCCACCCAGTGGTGCAGTATTGAAATGCTCAATAATGCTCATGTATGTCAACACCTTGGTCTTGGAAGACTAGCTGAACGAAAGGAAAACAGCAAAAAAAAGAGCAAGCAAACAATAGCAAGCATAATCAAGCCAAACATCAGTATTCCGTACCAAAACGACTTTGAATCAAGCAATTGAGTGTGAATGTTTACAAGTCCAGTAGTGGCACGGCCCATCTTAGGCGGTGCAGGAACCCAGCCATGCCAACACAAAGAACCCCGTTGGATTTGTGGCTCGGAACCGGGACTTACGTCAGGAAACATCTGCAGGCCCAACGGCACGCCCGGGTTCCGGTCCTTCCAGGTGGCTCCGGAGCCAGCCAAGGTCAGACCTCTTTGGACCCGAGAGCAGCAAAGACAGGTGGACCCTGTGCCAAACAAAGAGCTGTTCTATCGGGGACATCATCCAAAATGGTGCGACTCAGGTGAGTCAATCGATTCTTTCATCTTATAAATAGTAGCTTTTCAGGTTATTCAAGGTGACATTTTGACATCGCAGTTTCAGGTCACGACCAGGCCTGTAAAAGGTCACAAGCAGGGATTCCACCACCCCCTCTTTCAACCCACGAATTCCACTGGCCCTCTCGTCTCGTCTCGTCAATCGGCGGTTTCTCTCGTCGTCGTTCCAAGGGGCGGAAGTTGGAGCTCAAGATCTTGGACAACGCTTCAGGCCTCGAGCCTTCGCAGAATCGACGAGACGGCTTCTCCCCGAAGGCTATCCCACCGAGACGTTCTCCCCATGCTGAGACGACTCGCACCAAGGTCATTTGGAAAAAACTTGTATATTGAGCTCTTTTTGATCATGATATAGTTACTATATGTTACTATTAGTTTATTCATATTCTATACAAATTCAAACGAACTCCACTTTATCATTTCTTCTTATTAATCTATTATACTTGAACCGTTGAAAAACGGAACACCAACACAAACAACACCAAGAAACCAACTCACAGAAAAGACCGCCGTGTCCGCGAAGTGGCAGCGGCTGCGGCCTTTTTATCACTTGAGCCAAAAGTACAAATGTTCATGAACTGTGTCTATACATATGAGGTGTACTTTACACAGGAAACTTCAAGTCCCCCCTCATAGTGAGATGAACATATGTACAGCTAGTATTCCAGGTCTGAGACAGTCGCTTCATTGCTTGAACCGTCTGTGACCTGACAATTCCTATCGAAAGACTGCAAGCTTAACCTAACAGGCTTGCGAACGGCAGCTTGGGAGCGGCGCTTCAAGCAGCCAGTCACCCTTCATGCAAGTTTGGCGCTACGCTGGGCAGTAGCACTGTGCTGCATGCATTGTCATGACTTTCATTCGAGGCAGATCTAACTTAGTTTCGAGCTGCTGCTGGTTATCGCTTAGCTTTAACCATCTCATTTATTGCAGATCTAGCTTAGCTTTGAACTGCGGCTGACTATTGCTTAGCTCTAGTCATGCGAGCTCCTGCCTGCATCATAAGACGGGAGCGGACTCAGGGAGAACTGCAACAACTCCAAGGCATTTCCCCATTTGGACAACGGCAATCCTTTAGTAAACACGTCACCCTTTTGCTGAGTCGTTTCGATATGCTGGACTGTGATGTCATCAGCATTGTTGACGGTTTCGGCAGTTGAGGCCACATTTATGCGGTGGGTTTTACTCAAATGCCTTAATTTATTGGAGTAACCTTTCTGGATAATCGAGACCACAGCTGTATTGTCTTCGAAAACCTTCAGGGTCATTCCGGGGATCAACGCTTGCCATACCTCCAAGGTAGGGATCGCCTCGGAGAATAAGGCACCGGAAAGTGAGACGAACTCGCTCTCCGTGGTCGATCTTGCAACCACGCTCTGCCTCTTGGAACTCCAACTCACTGGCGCAAAGCTGGAGGGACCCGCAACTGCAAGGATGAATCCAGAGGTTGAACGCATTGATTTGATGTCACCACCGAAATCGGCATCGCAATACAGAGACAAGTTCAACTGCTCTGGCGGATCACGAATGCACATTATCGGGGAGTATTCATGGGTCTTTTGCAAGTACCCAATGAGTCTTGCGGCTCTTTTATCGTCGTTGGCCGACCACACCGTAATGTGTTTCGCCAACAGAGTGACAGCAAATGTGACGTCTGGCCTGCTAATGCGACAGAGCCACATCAACTTCATAATTAATTTGGCCGAATGTGGCGAGAGCTGCCCCTTGATCTCGTCATCAGCAGGGATCAGGGCTCCATCGTCCCATGAGGGCGAGGAATAGGCCTTCACCGGCGTTTTCGCCAGCTCTTCATACAGTTCAACGCACTGTTTTGCGAAGTCAGACGATTCTAAGGCCACTGCTTTGCTCCCTTGAAACCACACAAGCCTATGGTTTCGTCCTAAGACTCTTCCATATTCTGACGGTGGATCTAAATTTATGTACTGCTTGAGGGTTTTCCAGAATCCTTCATGCTCGGAGGCTACTCCTGAGAGTGTGAGGTCGTCTACATAGACGCTCATCACTAGAGAACGACCGAATCGAAAAACCGAGGGCATCTCACTGAACTCGACACCGTTGAGTTTTTCTTGCAAGATTTTGGAAAGGTGGGCCTGCCAGTGCGCCGACGACTCTGGATGGCCATAAAGGCTCTTGTACAGCTGCGCGCAAGGCATATGGATGTGCTTCTTGGAATCTGGCACAAGTTCAGGCGGTAGCATCACAAACGTTCGATGCTTCGTGCCGAGTGCGGACTGAATATAGGCCCGGACGCAATCGGATGTTGAACAAGTGTTTCCCTCGATCATTGAAAAGGCTATCACTGTGTTCAATGCTGCAATTGAACTCGGAGCGGAAGCAGCAAGATCTTGGAAGATGGCGCTCAAGCCCCCCTGATCCTTGACTGCGTCACCTCGGAAAACAATCCGAGCCTTGATCTTCCAGTCAGCTGGGTTCTTTTCATATCCCTTTATGCTAACTATCACCATTAGGGCTCCGAAATGCAGTGTTTCATTGGGAAATTCCCTGATCACGTCTGCCTTTGACCTAATCTCATCTTCAACCCAAGTCCCTTCCAAAACCAAACCATCTTTCTCGCTTTTAATGGCAAGGTAAACTTCTGGGCGACCCTTCCATTCAGCACGCTCCAACAAACGATGAACGAATGCTGGTGTTACAAACTCCTTACATCCACTCTCATGCATGAGGACATCAATGGGAACACATGGCATCCCTTTGACAACATGCTGCCGGTGTGAATGACTCACGCGAGGTGTGCACGGCATGCAAAACACATGAACATTGACAACATGTGGAAACAAAGCATGCAACATGATCTGACAAAGAGGCTCTGGGTAGAAAGCTGAGTTTCGAGTGTACTTCCCTTCAAGGGGTGCATGCTTGTCATGCGTGCACTTTAACATTCCCAAAGAATCAGCTAACCTCTTATTATTCGTGACAAACCTCCACGGCTTTCGAGCGGGTTTGTTGTCCTTGGCAGTGATTCCTACGGTGCAGCCATCGAAAGTGGCAGACAGCAGTTGCCTTTCTGTGATCCAGGAAGCTAGGGGCTCACTCATCCACCCTGAACAATACCTTGGCCACTCAAAAGACACAAAACCACCATTATCAAGAACATGGTTTGCAACCCTGATGAACGAATGCATCATTGAAACACTCTCCCTACGCTTCTCTCGAAGGATGTTGGACAATCTTGGGTTCTTTGCTTCATTCAATCTTTGCCAAGCACTCCAGGGACCACACTCAATGGAACCATGGATTGAACAACCAGGGATGGCTTTCACTTGCTCAACAAGTTGGTCGATGTTTGCTTTACTTGCAAGATCTATGTGTTCCTTACAAAGTCTTACAACTTGAACTCCAAGCTCTTCACCAATCCTACCGAGTGCTGAGTCTGAAGCACAGGCAAACTCAAACAAAATCTTTCCACCTGGGGAATTGTGGATCTGACTGTGTAGACGCTCAGGCTTTGCAGCTGCTCCTAGACAGCTCTCATTGCTTGCAGCGACTGCTGATGCATACGTTTCTTGAACGATTGTTTCTGAAGCTTTCTTGGAAATGGCATCATGAGACATGGCAAGGACGGCATTAATGCCTGCATGAACACGAGCTTCATCACCCTCAGGTTCATTTTCATCATCAGAGGGCGGAGGACATTCTGGGACAATCTCCTCCTCATCCTCTTCGGCCTCTGACAAAACAGTTGGGGTGTACTCTTCGTCAATCAAGTCTCCTAGGATCTTCGGCATTTCGAAGGTCGGAGGCTCAGGTGCTGGGGTCGAAGGAGCAGCACCGAATGCTTCCTCATACCGGGCAATGCATTCGGCATTGTGTGCAGACGAATCAGCATCACAACCTTTGCATCCCTTTGTCGGGCCGATCTTCAGCATCCTACTGTACGTGATGTAAACTCTGCGTGCTTTAGACTTAGTCTCTGGGGTATCTTCGATGAAAGGAATTGGCAGAGGATCCACGTCAGCGAGTTGACGAACATCAGGATCCGAGAAGTCATTTAATGCCTTCTCTGCAAGATCTCTCAACGGAAACACACGCTCATCACGAACATAAACCTCTTGATCCGGGGCGACCACAATGGAAACATGACCTTGCTTCAAGGAGTTGTAATCCACAAGTCTCAAAACACCTTTGTACCGACACCCAAACTCAAGCTTCCAACCTCCCATTAGGGCTGGTGAAGAATTGGGGGCGAGTTTTGACTTCTCTTGAAACTTTGTTCTATAGAAAACCAACTGACCCAAAATGTAATCTGCACCTTTGAACTCCGAACCAAAAGCCTTTGACCAATGCTCGATGCTCATGGAAACAGCTGTGTACTGGCATGTCAAGGTCCAAAGTTTTGGGAACACAGCGAATCCTGCTTGCAAGTGCATGCTTCTGCAAGACTCTTCAAAGGACCTGATTTGTCTTTCAAGTACACTGTTGTGAGGCCATCTCCTAGGCAATGATGCGTCTGACAACCAACCGAGTGAACGAATGGCTTTCAGAAGCTCCTTGGCACAGTCTGACTTACAAATGGTTTGAGGGTTCTTGGCCTTTACACCCACAAAATGGTTCAGGGCTTCCTTGACCGAATCAGTATCTTTTGTTGCCAGAGGGTATGCTTGGAAAACTTTGCTGAACAAGTCCATCACCACAAGAACAACAAATTCCTTCCCCGACGAAGACTTTGAAACGATCATGTGATCACATGCAATTTGCTGGCCGAACGCTTCAGGAACAGGAAGATCACTCTCTTCGTCTGCCCTACGATGGGATCTGATGCGTTTTGAGTACAACCTAGCACGATTGCAAACATCACAAAGTGCGGACTTAGGGAAATGTGTCATGCAATGCTTGGTGGACAGTGCAAGTTCCCGTTCACGCACGAACTTCTCAGACTCAGGAACCTTTGGCAAAGCCTCACCTGGAGCAACGCCACGAATGTCGTCTACAACTGAATGCGGAATCGCACCTTCAGGAGACCGGACCTCGGGTTCTGCTTCAACAGGTTCCACCTCACCTGGTACGCCTGGAATGAAATCAAATGATCTAGAGAAATATGCTCGAATCAAATTGCTTTCCTCCGTTTGGAACTGGAATTGATTGCAGTCTTTTATATAGCATGGGAGTTGATTGGGTAACCACAAAAACCCCATACCATTGCTGACATCAAGACCAACAGACCGGACAAACGGGCATGAGTCA